TGGGTTTATTTAGGAGTAAAATATAAAAAGCAAATGTCTGAGTAAAAAATTTGACAGATCGCATTAAATATACGTAGAAGACTAGTTGAAAAAACCTAGGGTAACCATAGCCAGAGGTCCCCGTTTGAATATTTTTATAGAATATATAATTTTAAAACAAATTTAATGGTCCTTACAAAAATATATAAGCCGATTTTTAAATTAAATGAAAAGAACACGTGTTAAAAAGCTATTGAAATAATTTCTTGAAAAAGCATCTTTCATAATGCTATGTTGGCCGAATAATACATTTTAAAAAGCCAGCACAGTGGGGTCGAGAAAAGTGAGGACGCAGCAGATTGGAATGGAAAAGATCACAAGTCTTCAAGGCAAACATGTAGATGGTAGAAGTACAAAAATAAAAAATAAAAACATTGTGAAAAACTGCAATGTGCTTAAAATCATATTTAAGTATAAGAATTGATCGTTTGCTTATAAACATGTGTTGCCGTTTTACCCAAAAATCGTAATTAACAATATAATGAAAATATTTTTCAAAACTGAATGAATCAATAGATATTGATTCAATCACACATACTAATTTACCTAGAAATTTACAACGGCGAAAGTGCAATTTTCATTTTTTTTTTGTTTCTTCCTTAGTAAAAAAAATTGCATTACAGATTTTTATAAAAATCGTATATTATGTATTATGTTATAGCTCACTCTAGATGTATTATCAGTCTAATTTTCTAAATTAAGGTCTAAGACCTAAATGAAAAAGAGAAATAAAGAAATAGTTTCACCTTCTAGTGGAAAGAGTCTTTTTTGGTTTGACAACGTTTATTGACGGTACTTTATCTAAAGAAAATTCCATACATAAATATTTAAAACTAATATGACAATTTTTAAAAAAGTTATAACACTGAATTTTAAGTTGTAAAATATGTATATTTTTTGGGTGATTTTCTCGATTTCCAAAGGGAAGTAGTAAACAATTTTAATTTTCGGCCCTAAATAATACCTTTCTAAAATTATTTCAGATCTTTATGTGTTTGGACGCATACTAGTTAGTTGCCTCCATAAAACTAAGAATTACTTCCCTTGCTTATCGTAACTTTTAGGGTCATATACTTAGCTTCGCATCGAAGCTTAAAACTAAACCTATAATTTGAATCTACATGTTGTGGGATACTAGTCCGTTGAGAAAACGCCACATTAACTATACATTAAGGAGTACAGTTGACTGTATAATTTACTTAATAAACTTTGAAAACTGAATGTTCCTAATACACGTTTACATACTCATATAGTTACATAACTAAGGTATTTTCCCTAACTTTTATTTTTTTTATAACTTATAAGCCTTTAAAAAATATATTGTAAAATCGCATGTCATATCACTCTATTTCAATTAAAGTAATTAGAATATCAATAAACGCCCATGTCAAATTGAGTAATATCTTAATCTGCATAATAGCTAGAGCCGACGATTCTACACGTCTAGAGAGTGTTGCGGTTGACAATTTTACATGAGTACCTACCCAAAAGTAACCTCACTATTTATAATTGTCATAGGCCAAACATAGAGAAAAACGTCATTGGTTAGTGTTTTTTTTTTTTTTTGTATAGACATATTTGATGTGTTTGTGTAAAACATGCTAAATATATATTGCTAAGGTCACGCGGAGCCTAAATTTTAGGCAATTATGTCTATAAAGCTCATTACATGTTTATTAAAAAAAATAACATTTTTTTTTTTAAATATTGTATTTTTATACATTATAATTTATATTAGATCCTAAACCGAATTACCTTGTACGACACACGTGCGTTTTGGTGTGTTTAGTATATTTTTGAATATGTGAAAATATAATATTATTGTGTATACAAATTCTAAAAGAAACTCACATGTAGGTTAGTTGGTTTACTTTAGAAATTTGGTAGTGCTGGAAAATGCATAGTAATGAAAAAGTATTATCATATACGAGTACAATTTATAGCAACGAAAATTTCCGAATTCCCCAATTGGTCCATTCCACGTTTTACTGTTATGAATATGCTTCAGACAGAGGTCAATTTTTTAGGTACTTTTTTTTATTGCTTTTTGAGTACTTACACGGCGATTACTGTGGCAAATACTCGTCAGACCAGTTGTGCTAAATTGTATTTAAAATTTCGACAACGCCCGTATTATTATATTGTTTGTTAATATTTATGAACCTAAATACGTGTCTAACTGAGTACCTGCTAAAAAAAAAAAATACACTAATATTATGCTACACATTTTAATACTTGTGAGTTACAATTTGTTTTCTCTTCCAAACTACGTCATACCGATTGGTTTCTCCCGACCAATTTAACATAATATTATATTGTTGAATTTTACATTTTGTTGCCCGTAAAGCAATCAGATTTTCCGACCAAATTTTTAATCTTTAAACGAAGCTTTCATTTGTAAAACATGTGAAAAATTTGATTTCAGTAATTTTACACCCAATTTTCATAAAACTATATTTTAGTTGATTCTTTATAATGTTTTGATGTAACAATGATTTTTTAATTTTAAATAACTTGTGTTTACTTGAATATTCCTAATGTAATGTTAGCTTTCAATTATTATATTATACTGTTTATTATCAATTATCAATAATATGCACTATTTTTTTTTAACACGCACGTGATAATAAACATTTTGTTAATATCGTTCAATATTTGCTTACTGTCAGAAGACAGTAAGCACGTTTTCACGTCTTCGTTCTTATATTATCTTCCCCTACTCTATCTATTCCCTTTTCATCCGCTGGTGACTCGGTTCGGGATACTTTTCATAAGCATATCGAAGAGATATGCTGCAAGGCATTTAAACTGCTCAGGTTCTTAAATCGTACGTCTCTTGAGTTTTGCCTTGCTATCCCTCTCAAAGTCTTATACTGTGCTCTCGTTGGTGTCATTCTTGAATATAGTTCTGTACTCTGGAACCCTGCTTCATCTGGGGCCAGAGATATGATTGAACGAGTCCAGAGGCGCTTTTTACGAGTGGCAGCATTTCGTCTTCGCATCCCTTGTCCTCCTCGCGATTACTCTCCTATCCAAAACTTTCTTAACCTTCCTTCCTTGTCTGATCTTAGGCACACGGCTGATTTATCATTCCTTAAATGTCTTCTGTCCAGAAAAATTGATTCCCCTACCCTCCCTTCTGAATTTAACTTTAAAACCCTGTACGTTTCACACGCTCTTCCTTTCAGTTCCTTATCCCCCATTGTTCTACAAACTACTCCCTAAACTCACCTCTTAACCGTTTAATGAATACTGCAAACACCGACGCCTTCACTACTTGTTTATAATTTTTCTCTTTTCTCTGTGTAAATAAATTAAATAAATAAAATGTTTCAACTTTAAATTATATTACTATAGTTATTGTTTAGTTACAGTTCTATTGTTATACATTTTTAAATATTGTACTGTATATATTGTCAATTTTGGGCTTGTCCCAGAAATATATATTAATTAATTAATTAATTAACATTTAGGTTTTCAAAGTTGAAGAAAATACTAAAAAAGATAAATATTTATTAATTTTATAATATTGTAAGATAACATAAACAAAATTTTTTTTAAAAAGAAAAACTACAAAATTTCAATTATTTTAAAATATATTTGAGTGTCTTATCCTTAATAAATCACCCTGTATATATAATTAAGAGGCAATATTTGAAAAATAAACTGTTGGTTTGATTAGGTCATGGAAATTATGTTAAGATAACGCTTAATTTTTCTATTAAACGGATTTAATTTTTTTTGTGTTAATTGAAAAAGCTTACAATTTTTTATATGGGAGCTCAAGTACCAATTTTGAATTGTATCTTAGAAAATTAGTTACAAAAACTATTGAAGTAGGTATAAATGTTCATATTTTTAAAAATAAATATTAGAAATTTACGTTTTAGCCCTCATAGCGAATACACGAAGGGTCTGGTTTTTGAAAGCTGTTATCGATCTTACACACCAATATAGATGAATAAGACATACAATACTCGATGTTACCGTTAACCTGATAATTGCTTAAATAAATAAAGACAACCGTCGAATAAAGAACAATAAAAATTGGAAACGAATGAAGTAGGAATGGTCTTAAAGAATTACTAAAACTCTATAAATGATTTAATGCGATTTGTAAGCATGCTGAATATCAAATGATACCGCTATAGTGTGTTGTAGTTTTTTTTTTTAGTACGATTTTTTCTCAATAAAACAGTAGTTTGTAATTCAGTTTTGTATATCATTTACATGTGATTATGTTGTAATTTTACCGTCCGCCTTTAAATTATAGACTCGTTATTAATACATTATTAGTCATTATTTTATGTTATATTAGTTATAATTTTTAATTTTACTCTCTCATATAAATTATGTGCCCCCCCCCCAAGTTTTTTTTCACCAATATATTCCATTTGAAATACATTTTTAAAAAATGTGATTATGTTACTACTACTACTACTACCTATTTGGATATTATTCTTACTTTGACTCAAAGATAATACCCAGGGAGATAAGCGAATAAAATATTTCCTATAAAAAATAGCAAAAGACCATGGTGTACAATTACATAGATTAGTTAATGAGATAAGACCTATGATTGAAACAAACTAATTCCAATTTCTAGTAATATTGTGTCGTTCAAAAACCAAATGAACAAACAGATAACAAATAAGTGTATCATTTGGGTACAGTATAAGTAAACAATTAAATTATATCTCAAACGTAAAAGTTTAATTTGAGCGGTTCAAAACTACACCTTGGCAAAACAAATAATCACTTTAAAGTGCACTAGTTTAAACTAACTTAAATTTTTAAAAAACCGAAATACTTAAAAAAAATTGACATTCTGAAGTACATTCGTACAATATTGTATAATAATAATAATCATAATTTTAAGCAAATGTAAATTTATAATACATATAAATATATTTACTATAATTAAAAATAATGAAATAATAATTTCATTAAATCGCATGAAAATGTCATAATAATATATTAAGTATCAAGCAATTTTTTTTTTTTTTGTTATTTAAATAAATATAGAATCGAAAACTGTATTAAAATATAGTGAACGTTTTCTGAACTACCGCGGTATGCACCGAATATTTTAAACTTATTGACAAATATAAAATACTATATATTTTTTCTTTTTCAAATTAATTATGTTTTTTTTTTTTTAGATTTTTTTTCCCATAAATATAATCTTTAAATAACAATAAATTGTATTGTATTTTTAAAATATAATGTATAATGCGACAATTAGTGAAGTCACTTGAAAAAGTCGCTCGATCTGAATTAATACTATATAACATAAGGTTATTATTTTTTATGTGCTAGAAACTGATTACAGCAGCAGGCAGTAATGAGACGGTGTTCTCTGCACGTGTTGGAGTGAAGGAAACTGCAATCGGCAAATTGGCATTCATTCGGCAAATCTGTAATAAACATAATACAAAAAAAAATTATATATAATAAGTACTTATTTATTATAACGGAATGTGTCTACACTCTTAACGGTTTTGTTAGTATAATAGTTATACCTCATTAACATACATCTAGTGCACATACATCATCAGGTGAAGGGTCACTGCTCGCAAAACGTATGAGATTTTTCAAAATTTTAACTTAGATATAATAATTTGCGTTATAGAGTATAAGTAAAATGAAAATACAAAAAAAATTGTTTTCGATTTATCATTTGCATCTTTTGGTTGCATACCTATAATAATGCGTTTGTCCAAGAGAACAATATATTTTTTCATGTAGGTTTTATTAACAATATCTGTCATCTCCCTTGTATGACTCAGTCATAATGATATACCTAGCTAAATATGATACCTAGCTGTCATGCGGTTAATCAACCCAAAATTGTTTAAAAAAAAAATTTTGAAAATTCTTTATACTCAAATGAAAAATGTACGGTTATTTAGCAGACAATAACTAACGATTTTGACAAGATAAAAATATACTATGCACATATTATTATATTATAGCACAAAACTGCGCTTACGGAATATTCATAGAATTTCAAATTGTAATTTGAAAATTACAGTATTTTTTTTATACATTTTATTTTTGGCAAATTACAGGTAATGTCTTAAGAGGGGAAATGTGGATAAGACAAATTTCGTAGCTTTCTTGAGGCAACTGACGAAGTAGTGGCAACAGTTTTAGTGTAATTTAACATTTACAAGTATTTAAACATGCGTATTACACACAAAAATGTACTTGGAGAGCTATATATATATATAATATTATAAAATTGACAGACGTTATAGTAAGAATAACCCAAATCTTTTTTAATAAAAACCAGGCAATGGGCTAAGATGGTAAGTGAAATGCAAGGTTGTTTCACAAAATCTCAAATTTATTGAATTTCCTCTAAAAAAAATGTGTTATGTTTATAAGACATTTTCTTTGTATTTACATTACTAGTTTTGTAGTTCATTTTTTTTTTTGACACGAATAATTAAATAGCTGTTAAATAAAAAAAAATGAAAACATTAGGTAGGTAGGTCGTCACTTACGTTGTCCTTGTCAGTTCGACAGGCACGTGACTATACAAATGACGTAGTTCGCCACTAACCTGGACAACAATTGTGGGGTATTATTTCATTGAACACGCGTCGAATAAAGTCACTATTTTAAGGTCAGTGTCAAGTTTATAACTGTATCTACGCTTCCGTTTGATTCGCCACTATTGTTTGCTGCTGACAAATTACTTGTAAAGTATTACATAACGTGTTATATCATATAACGTTCTGGTTTTCATGTACAATATGGTGGTCAGAACATATTTTTATCATTTTTTCTGACATTGGCCCAAAGACATTTGAGACGGTAGTGGGCCAATGTATAAGACAGACCTATACGATAAACTGGGTCTCAATAATCGCTAATAGCTCCGTTTGTTGGTTTATATATTGTTCACTGCAACAACAGTTGGGTTTGGGGTACACCGAAAATTTGTAGATTTGACTATCCGACACGAAGCCAATATTTAAAAGAGATGAAAAAAATGATAAAAAACGAAATTACGTTGGAAACCGTTTATATAAAAGTTTAGAAGAAGACAGACACGTGTCATACAATAGACAAATGCAGGGTATAAGAGTTTTTTCCTCAACAATTCGTTACATAACTAAATATATCAAGGTAACTTTAGGCGAATAATACTAAGGAATTAAAAAAAAAATTAAGCGGTCGGACACGTGGACCTACATCCGTGACAGACGGAATTTTTAAACTACAATTTGAAAAAATTATTTTGACTAGGAAAGTAATTTTAAATAACTCAACGAGGAAAGTAATTCGTAATTTTTTTTGATGGCCTAACGATGAGTGAGCGAACTACGTCAGTGCTTTGAATATAATATTATTATACACAAATTGCTCTTCAATAGTAATTAATTTTTATTCTGACATAAAATAACGCTGTTTCAAAAAAGTCGTATAATGTAGTATACATTTGAAATTGCACACGTAGTTTGTAACTTTATATTGTTTTAAAAAAATGAGTTTTTTTTCTATTGTCTGTTGTAGTAAAAAATTAAAGCAAGTATAGTATTATAAGTATTTACCCAGTTTATTATTTGTACATTTAAAATTACACATAAACTTTTTGTGGACGTTGATAATATCAGCTTTTGAACCAAAGGCTTTTGAGACAAAGTACGTGGACGACACTATGCATCGACAGAGCTTAAAACCTTATTTGTTTTTGGTCTTGTGCACTTAAATAGTATTCTTATAAAAAAACATTTATGGTTTCACAACATTTCGGTATCACAACTCAACGGGAACTATGAAGTGTAGTTTTTCGAAAATACAACTAGTTTTATTTATTATTACATTTAATTGGGCAAAACAATTTTTCTTAATTGGGCGGATACTAGACAATATTTATAGTGAAGTGTATTAAAAAAAATACTCAATAAAATTCAATGTACTGAGTATTATTATATAGTGTAATAAACTACATGTTAAAGTGTGCTATGTCCATTCGGTCAGTCGACATTGCATTTTCGTGACCAATATTATGAATTTCTTATTATTACAATCTAGGGACTTCTACGCTAGCATTTATTCAGGCGCGTTGTATAGACAATATTTTACTAAAAATAAACAGAAAGTTAAAATCAAGCTATACTCATATATTAAAACAGAAAAAAGGCACCTATTTTTATACTTCATGTATTTTCCAACTTTTATAATATATTTATTTCAAGCAACGCGTGCCTGACAATATACTCCTGTTTAAGTTTTGAAAAATGATATGAATTCTTCATGACATTAACACGGCATGGGTCGTGGCAACATTTGCTTAGGTTAGTTTTTACTCTAATGTTTAAGGAGCCTTCCTATCGGTTTAAACAGCAAAAAAAAAGTGCCCTTCCAAAATATTGAATATTTTGTTTTGCCATTATCAAAGTATTAATGTGTTGAAATTGAAAAATAATATTCAATAACAATATAATGTTGTTTAATCGTTGTTTAATTATTGTTATTTACCATTATATGAGTACCATTTAAATCGATGATTATACATGCACATCTCGATTCTTAGAAACTTTATTGTTAGAAACAAATAGCCTTGCGGTCACCTTGTATTTAATTTATATTATCTGTAAATTCAGTTTCTTAGATCTAAAGAAGGTTACAGATTTATTTTTATTTTTTACACCCACAATGATATAACTTTAACAGGTCCAGAACTAGGAGACAAAACAATATTATTACAACAACGATATCCAAAAGACTTCTCTGAATCATTATTGACTCAATTATTACTTTAAGTAAAAACATTAAAAATGCTCTATTAAAGGTGTATACTTAATTGTATTCTTCTACATTTAAACTGAATAGGAAAGAAGCGCTTTCGATTTTTTGCATCGGCACCGAATTTTTATATTTACACCCCTTTAATGTTATTATTTAATTTGTCAGTGTCTTATAAAGTTAAATTATTACTAGTTGACATTTTTGTAATGTTTTGGCCATAAAGCAAACAAACAGTTTCAAGTTATAGGTATACAGAATATCGAGAAAATTCACTAGTTGCTTCTAGAAGGGAGGTGAGAGGAGGGGGTAAAGTACAAATGAATTAACATGCATCTATTAAAATCGTTTAATTCGCTACTAATTGTTGTTTATGAACCATACACAATATCGGCTTGATTGTTGTATAAATAGTGTTATGTATCTTATTTCTTTACAATTTATTTCTGTAACATATAGTTAGATTGGACAAACAGGTTGAGGCAAAAATAAATTATAATATTTGTTGACCAGTGAAAATCACAAATATCTTGGCTAGGCCTGTTGAAAATAATTGTGAAAAATATTATAATACAACAAACCATGTTATACTCGTTTTAAATGCAACAGACAAACGCATTTTTCTCAAACACAAGGCCAAATTTTCTCAAACACGCGGCAATAGTACAAACCGTTTGATCTGGATTGTCCGGTCACCAATTTTTACAACGGCGGTTACCGGTTTTTCTTTTTCTGCTGCCAAAGATCCCCCGACAGATCCCGGGTGGCCAACAGTACCGGCACCACCACGGTGGCTGCGACGGCGGCCAAAACTTGAATTTTGGTAACTGCCACTGATTGTATACATACGACGGCGAGTGGTACCTATTAAAATTCGTGTTGGGCCTTACGCGCGACGGTAAAAACTGGGGTCCGTCTCCTCCACGAGGATTGTGGCCGCCGCCGGGCACACGTGTCACCGACCGCCGCCACCGTCGACGCCGCCCGAGGGCCGCGACGTCTTGGCCGAATCACCGATGGAAAACTCGAACCCCATGTTGTCGGGTGTGCGCGCGTGTGTGTGTTTATATATCATTATCATCGTTATCGTTGTTAAGCCGAAGGGGCGACGCCGTATCCTTGACCCGGCGGCCGCAAGTACACCTGACACCGAAACCGTCGGCGACGGCGAAGAAGACACGGCCGAGAAGGCGTCGCGTCGCCATCACCAGAAAACAATATCAGCCCGGTGCACATCTCCACCCCTGCCGCCAACGACTAGTGCGGTGGACGGACCAAAGGGGGTGTAGCGGAAGACGGACACCGAAGCGTCCTCAAGGCCAAAGCGTGGGACTACGCACGACCGGCTGCAACGAGGGTGTCTGTCGTGCGCCACTGCCCTTGCTCGACACGTTTGTGAGAGAATTTTTTCAGCTGGCTTGTTGTTGTGAGCGCACATAGTACTTGATGATTTATGGATATATACATTTGAAATCTTGTTCGTCCGAGGTATGTTTTGTACAGGCGATTATTGATAACAATTAAAAACTATAACATGGTGTCTGCGGTCTAAAGACGGGTAAAAACGTATAACCTCTTGTAAGTGAAATCAATCATGTATTATAATATTTCAAAAATGTTTGATTTTTACAAGACATTGCGCAGTGGACAAGTATCGTCGGTAAATTAGTCGTAATTCAGAAAGCTAAGCAAGATAGGGACAACCTTAGTGACACGTGCACACTATAAGTTTTATAACTTTTTTTTTTATAGTCGTTATTATAAAACATCTATAGACTTTTAAGTATAAATGTCAATGTGCTTTTTATTTGCTTATAATGACAAACGTCTCAATCGTAATTGCCAATAAATCAGGTTATGTATATTTATACTTAATATAATATAGTGAACTGTTTAGACTTTAGAGTGCAATACTTGTGATAAATTGTAATAAAAAAAAATATTTATTCTATTCATCAATATTGATATTTGTATTTTGTGTATTTTAAAGCCGCTTATCTAGTTACAGGTTGATCTTATGTTTCAAGATATATATAAGCTTTTATTGTTAATAACATCAGCAATGTCTATTTTGTCTTGATTAAAACAGTTGAATTAAATCTAAAGACATTATTAGTATTACCGGTATCAAACGGAGTCAAGTAGCCTAATTTAAGGAGACATTCCTTAATAAGTGTACATTGAAAAAAATATTGGAATTGTCTATGTCTCACCTAGTCCCTAGAAAACTAAATACTAAGAGGAACGGTAAGATCAAAGTTTCACAACAATGTCTCCAAATAAAATTAATTTTTTTGTTGTTGTTTGGAATGATATCTCTTTTATGAGGACAAGAATGGCCTACTTTTTATTTTTTTTTTAAAGAGTTATATTTTTATAGCTTTTTAAATAAAATTAACTATGCCCAGTAAAATTACAATTTTTTTTTGTACATATTAAAATTTAAACAAGTGATTCAATTTTTTTACCTTTCGCTCAAAATGGACTATACGATAAATAAAAAATAAAAACGGGTTTACGCGGGTAATTTGATTTTACATAACTGTAATCGCTTATAACGGGTCCAAGCAAACGGATACCGAGTTGGCCAAATACTGCAGGCTTGGTATACGCACTATATGCTGTTGGATTTAACCAAAATTCTTTGGATTAACGCCAACATTATTACACAAATATGCTTACCGTTTGGGTCCAGACAACAGCAGGCGTCGTGGAGCAGCTTGTCGGAGCAATAACTGTACACGCTTGTGTCGCACAGAGGACATCCGTTGGGTCGTCGCTTCAATGTCATTGGGCCACCCTCTTGCACGTCGCTCTGTGGCTCTTCGTTGTTGTCGTTTTCCGACGGCACATCCGCCTCGGCCGAATGCGCTTCTTCCACAGTTTCTTTCACCGGTTTTCTATCTGCAAACAATTCAAATCGAAAAAAAACGTCACAACCAACTTTCACAGAGTTCACCGTGAACGCCTACATGGACCGGAGTACGGTCATAGTGTTTTAAAATTTCTTTAAAATCGATTGCAGTGCAATATTTGTAAAGTATGAAAAATAATCGAAACGATTTCTGCGTTACAAACACTTACAATTTGAGTAACACTAAAAAAAAAACAACATCGTACAGCATTAAAATGTTAAGTGCTAAAAAAATGACGATACCCTTATCTTAAAAATAAAAAATTAATGAAATCTCATTTAATAATTTATATTTTTTTAGTATTTGATTGGAAATTTAAAAATCAAAATTAATAATAAATATAAGTCGCTTATAAATACCATTACTGATATTTTATACACATAATATATATATATATACAATTAATAGTGTATTATTCAGTCTTAAACTCTATGATTCGGTATTAATTACAATAATATACATCTTATATACTAAATAACGTCATGTTTTTTAAAAACAAAATAAGACTTGTAGACCAAAACAGTCTTAAATTTATGCCGATGATGTAGGTCAGTCTGATTCATAACCTGGTACCTAACATTAAACCCAAGAAACTCAGCGGCTAGTCTCTGCTGAATATTTTACTCCTATCTGGTAGAAAGTTCACGTTGCAAAAAGAAAAATACTGAGCTAAATATGCGCATTATTTCAGGCACACAGGTCTAGACTCACTGGTACAAATAAGGCGCACAGTGGTCTGAAACGCAATTTTAGGTGGAAAAAACTTATATTGATCAAATTTTCCTCAGATTTTGTCCAAAAAATTATAAAAAAGTGGTGCTTAATGTTTTTGGGGTCAAAGAGTTCAAAATTTATATCAATTTTTAAATTCACGTATAATTGTAAGATGCAAGTAAACATAATATTTTGTTTTTAAATTGAAATTTAACTTTCGTAAACTTCTTCATAAGTTTTATAACTTAAATTTAATAATGATTTTACGTCATTGTCCAATTCATTTTTTTTTTTTTTGGTATGTTGCAAATTGGAGGAGGAGGAGTGGCCGAGTGGGTAAGGCGGCAGTGTGGTAGCGCTCACTGTCGCCGGTTCGACACTCGGTCACAGGCGCTCCGTTTGCTGGGCGAGCAATCGTCCGGTAAAAAGGAACCGCCATCCCCCTCTCCGGCGACGGATTGACGACCCGTCCCGGAAGCGAATTCGTCAAGAAACCATCTCATGATGGCAGCGTTGGGCCTTCATGGCCCGTTAGCTACATGATGATGATGATGTTGCAAATTGAGGAAATATATGGATCTGAAGTGACAAGTAATAAGTGTAGAACGTCTTCATTTTGAGCTACTCTACTAATTTTTCGCGAGTGATGTTCGCGATAATTTTTATAGTCTTTATTTCGAGCTTCCTGTGCTTCCTCGGAAAGTTGTCCTTAAAAATGTTCATATTACATTAGTTAATTATAATAAAGTTTATAGTGGCTTTTACGCCAAAGTCTTTGTAAAACCAAAGTAAACTTTAAAATTGAATGGTTGACTAACTTAATGTGTATTGCGGTTCCCATTTTACATTTTCATACCGTGCCCTCAAAATTTCAAATAAATAGTTTCTCGATTTTAAAAAATGGGGATTTAGTGGACCTCTATTTTTTAATAGCTGATAAAAATCATTATAAGAATAATACCGAGAATCAGTGTTATTCCAATCCAAATTGTCGTCAATTTCAGAATCATTTATTCCAACACTGCCGCTAGAGCTACCTACAAAAAAAATTATTAAAAATACAGATGCAAATGAATGCAAACCAAATTTTGGGATCTGGTACTGAAGAACAAGTACTATATTGTATATATATTGAATAACGATTTATATGGGTTATTTTTTAGTTATACACTTTGAAATATCAATACTAACATTTTTTTACTACTTTTTTAACTTTGTTTTAATAGTAAAATAATAAATATTTATAATATTAATATGAAACACTTACCTAAGTTTTCGAATTCATTACTTATATGAAACTAATTCAAAAAAAAAAAAAAAAGTTTACCTGTGTATAATATACTAAAAAAATGTAATGTACAATCGGTGAACGATTCGACGTTTGTGAGCGCGTTATTATGTTTTACTTATCGCTTGCGCCGCTTGGTAATGTTAATATTATCTGAAATTCTATTTTTTTGTTATATAGAACTTATATATAATGGGTTAATAACATAAAATACCTATTTTTATGAATTTTAATAATTGACTTTATTCCACCTAAATTAGCTTTTAGACCACTGTGAGGCGCGGGGAGGGGGTTATGAAGGGGACTTTACCCCCTCAAATTAAACGAATTCCCCCAAATCAAACCCTCATCAAAGGAGTACTTACTATAGTTGTTTTCTACAATTAAAAAATTAAACCCAATAATAATAATTAAAAAAAAAAAATGCTTAATGAGTAGATCGACACAAAAACACTAGACCGTCAAGTGGTTGGCAATGTTCTTTAATAATTACCAAGAAAAAAGATTAATAGGTAATTATAAATAATTTAAATTTCTGTTAATTAACTACGAAGGATAAAATATCTACAATTTACTATTGAGACGCGAAAATAATTGTTTTAATGGGCACGAAATACTTTAAAAATATTTTTACTATCTTTTTGAAACGTTAATTGTTAACTTCTGGGTTGGACACAGAATTTTTAAAAGCAAAATATAGATGCTTACCAACATACCTCATTTACGGAAATAATATTATTATTACTATTATTTATACTAAAAATGTATTTATTATTTTTAACTACAGCAAAATTATTATCATATGCAGAAAAATATATCATTTTTTTTTCTATTAGCTTCATTACTATTGATGAACGAGTTATTGAACTATTAACATAACATAAATATTTACACCATTACACGGAAACGAATGATAACGTCGGTAAATAATAAATTAACATTTACCTTTGCCGTGTGTCAACCTTGTCCGAAGTAAATTGTATGTTGCCTATCTACTTCAATAACAGGTTTTAGACTAAATTTGTCGTCTGCGTTGATAGTGACAGTCAAATGTATAACATTATATCAAGAGTGACAAACAAAAATAATATTAATCATATATATTGCTTAATTTATATTATCAGAGTAGGTGTCAGAATCGAGCAACTTTCTATTTCCTCACGAACTTCAGTTCAAATAGGAATGAGTGGATAAATAATTGATGCAATAATTGTCTTCAGGAGAGGTAAATATAACTATCTTGACAAATGATGGTTTTTACAAAATACTAATGCTCATTCTCACCAGTATAGCTTAACAATACTCAACATATTGACTAAACTACACCTAAAAATTTAGCCAAATTGGAAAAAAATGATGAAATTAATTTATCAAGTTGTACCTTTACATCCAGCCATAGCGATAAAAACGTATTAACAGCGTTGTTAATATTGCAGTGTTCTTAATGACAAAAAGTTTAAGGAACGATAAAATACAAACGTGTAGATGTTATAAAGTAAACCAAAAAACAATCGATCGCTTATTTAATTATTTTAAAATAATCTCTATGTTGACATCTCTACAGGGGATACTACTATTGTGTCTTAGTAAAAATGGTTTTATTACCAAATTATTACTTCTATCATAACATAAAAAATTATGCAAAAATGTTAAACACTAATATTCAATACTGTATTTCGATTTTTAGACCTCTGACTTGATGTCACACAGCCTTGAGATAAACTGGGCGGGAATATAAACTAAGAAATTTAAAATCATAATAAGGGAGGCAATATACTCTCGTATGCCATTTTAGTTGCCTACACCAACGCCCAACACACTAATTTCTGTTGTCATTACTGTCGTAACACAAATATTGACAATGAATTATAAAGAAATTGATTCGGTAAAGATTAAACAAAGATTTCGTTTCAATTTATATTATTAAAATGACTCATAATTAATTATTTCTCAACATATGGAAATATTTACTATTACCTACATGTCATCCGAGGCAAACTTTTATTTACTGACAACCGGTCATTTGAAAATGAAAATAAACGTGTGCTCAATTAATCTAAATATTTATTACACAAGTAATATTTACAACTAATCAGATCATTTAAAAACAACGACATAGGTACACAATCTTATATATCGGGTGTTTCATAAACCATTCATACCTCAAAAGATTCAAGTCAAATGTATTTGATAACTTCAACAGTTCAACGTGAAAACCAGGACATACGTTTTAAAGCGGTTATTGTATTTTACTATTATCCCTAAATTTCTATCAGATTTATATAAAAAGAGCAACATTTAAATAAAATGCGTATAAGTTAAACTCCATTACAATTTGGTGAGTTCAAATAGTATTACTAATTAGACAAAAATCCACGCAATCTGAGTAAGGCATTTAATGATATCACGCCGAGAACCTTTTGATAAAATACAATGAAAACAGACAAATGATAAACAAATAAAAGTTTGTTTTATATTATTTAGTAATTATAAAAAAGGAAAACTATTTAAGAAAAAAAGAAAGTAATAAGCACAATTTTATAAATATTTTGTTTCCGAAAAATTCTATATTATAGACAATATTTTAGAAGAGTAACATCATTATTGTTTTCATGTACACATTAACTAAGAATATATATATATTGTTCATATAATTTTACAAAGTCCATTAACAATATATTATTGTTTACATGGGATTTGTGTTTGATTTAATTTAGCAAACCGAAAACTTATATTTACATTATTACTATTATTATTACAGTTAAACACGACTTTTATATTAGTGAATATTTCGGTACAATGTACCGAATAGCAAGTATACTTAGTACACGTTATTTTTTTTAGATAGTAAATAACACAGTATTTATCATTGCCAAACATTTATTAGTATTTAGCAGTAACAATAATTTCGTCATAAATACAACACAGAGGTAATCGCCCTTTTGTGTAATTGATGTATGTGAACTCGTATGTCATTGAACATGAAAGGTTTAAAATAAATTCATATCCAATGCAAATAAATAGTTGAAGTATAATTACGTTTATACTACATACATATTTGTTATAGGGCATCCGGCATGAGTACCTATGCTGTACATTTCTACTAAATTCCTTTTGCGGAAAAAACTATAACGGTTTCAGTTATTAATATATTTATTGTTTAAGTTTTTAAATGGTAAATTTGATGTGTTTCAATAAAGTATCACGATCTTAAAAGTTGTCAAACAAAATATTGGCATAACCAAAATCTAGTAAAGGAGAAATTTTGTTAAGTATTGCTTATATTTTACTCTTGTCTCTTGGATATATTATAGTTTGTAAATATTTTTATACTGTTTACAATATAAATTATATTAAATTTTTTTTTTCTATTAAATTGTACTCAAAAATAAGATCAGTGTTAGTGTTTTAAGTTTTATTTTTAACAAAAAAATGTTTTAATGAGGTCAGATGGGCTTTCTGGTTTTTTGTTAATTCCATCTGATTTCCTGAAGAAGTATCATCTCTATCGTCAGTACAAAAAAACAAACAGTAAGCCCAGAAGGCAAATAATTCAACACTTGCCTTTCACTTTGAATATTTAATTAGCTGGTTTTAGTTTTCAAACATAATGTAAAATTAGCCTAAAAACTAACTTCTTAAATATAAATTTATAGTATATATTATTTCAGGTCTCTGCTGCAACTTTTAAGAAAGTAATGTTTTAATTTGTATGATTCGAGAAATAAAACCAAGTTAATTGTTAAAAGTTAACCAAGTTGACACTAGGGTTGCCAACCGTCCTACATTGGCCAGGACAGTCCTACATTTGTATGATTTGTCCTACGTCCAACAACGCTTTAAATTTTTTGTAGGACTATCCTACATTTCAATAAATGTACCCAATAATATAGTTTAGTCTATGAAAAATTAAAAAACAATTTTTATATTTCATTATTATTATAAATTATTTTTTATTGTATCTATGATTTAGGTTAATCACGTCTTGTATTATGTATACAAAGGTCATTGACAATTCAAAAATATTTTATCATCTATGCTTGTATATACCACGGTCTTAAACATAACTCTTGAGTCTTGGACCAAGACTCAAGAGTCATGTATATTATTTTTTATTTTGTTTGTTCTCATTAGTTTCAGTATGCATTTCATAATTAATATTGTTTTTTGTTATGATAATTTATATTAATAAATTTCATTTTCTTATTAACTTAAAATAAGTATTTACTATTTGGGTGAGGCTCTCATTTGACAGGGGACCATAGGGCCCCGCTGCCGGCTTGGATATGAAAAATATTGTCCTACATTACACAATTTGAAAGTTGGCAACCCTAGTTGACACGGACATTACTCGTGAAATGTGTACTTCTTTAAATCAAAAGTGTGCCTGGAATAAAATAAAATTTAATTAATTTAACCTTTGAAAATTATCTATAATTAAGAACCTTATTGTACAGTTTCTGCACCAACATAAAAACTATCTAGTTAAATTTTCAAAAAACCAAACAATACATATATAAATAAGTAAATTCGTTGGCTTGTATGGCTTTGTTGATGGCTTTGTTCTGTCTGAAATCTATATTTTGTACAAGCTATAATACAATTATTATTCCATGTGTTTTTCCTCTGAAATCATAATAGATATGATGTGAAGAATAACGTCTTCAAAGAACAAAGAAAAGCGTTAATAATTAGGCAAAATTTTATATTTATAATCACACTTGCTGTTTGGGTTGTATCCGAATTATACCGTAAACGTACATTTAATGCTTGCTAGTTCCTGGTTGTATGACCATTGAAAATTGTACATACTTCGTCCACATAATACTTATGACTAAGGCCGGAAGTTCATGCATTTCTATGTTTTTACGGGATGATCAAAGAAAAACAAATTCTCCAAATTTGAGTTACACTTAAAAAAATTGAAATTCAAAATTTGATTTTGCAATATTTAGATTTTGTTTACTTAAAAGCATCAATAAAAAAAATGAGAATATAAAATAAAACATTTTTTTTAAATATAGTAACTATAACTTAATATATAATAGTGTTATCGAATAAAAATAAGAAAGTAAAAGTTAATAAATATTCTCTTTGAACAATTTGTTTTATTTATGGTTTTCAAAAAAGTGTTAATTTAATTTTTATTATTTTTAAATAAGTATTTTGAGTAAGTATAAGTAAACATGTTTAATAAAAAACGATCTATGATCATTTTTTTAGTCTAAATATATGCATATTTCGGTATACTCTAAAACTAAAACTTCCGAGCCCTACTTATGATGTGAGAAATATATTTGAAGGAATTTAAAAGTTTGGATTTGAATCATGATGTTAAATTAAATAATACACAGAATTAATTATCAAAGTGACGTTCTTTAGTTTTACTCGCCTAACTTAATATAATTTATCTTAGTTAATGTAAAACTAATATTAGCATAACTCGAATTAATTTAAATAAACAATAGAGTTCTCCTTTATAATTCACGCCTCAGTCGTCTTAATTGTGGTCATAAATCATGTCATAATAAACTGATATCAAAGTAGTAACCTTTTAGAAACCCATCCATGTACATTTATGGATGATAAGAATATAGCTTTAATTATAGAACACTTGTAAAATAGGAATACTTCAAAATTTAACACGGTTTTAGGTAGTCGAGTCCAAACCTAACCAACCAGAATTTTTCGACTTTTTGACTAAAGGAAATGCTGCTGATCTTTTTATAAACTATGTATTGTAATTATAAATAAATAGTCATTGGCCATTATCAGCTTGCTTAAAAATATTGAGTGGCGTTCTTAAAAAACGAATTTGATTTCGCTTTTGCAAAAAAAGGGATGCTGCAGTAAACACAGCAAGTCTATATCGTTTCAAACTCGACTGGAAATTAAAGTCTGCGTACGGCCATGTGTTATACATAACTTATCAGTTCCACATCGAAGCTAAAACATTGAAGAATTCTATAGCTATGAACCTGCTACCCGAAATCACATAGGGTGGATTTTACGATTAAGTTTGTAATAATATAGAATAAGTAAGTTAAAGTGTAAATCTTTTAATTTCCTTACCTTTTAACAACACTAATTGGGCGAGTTTAAATTCTTTTACTAGCCCCGTCCAAAACTGTAACAGTTAATCTGGCAGTGGCTAATAAAGGACGGCAAAGCTCCACCCAACCCCCCAGCTAAGTACCCTTAATCAATTAACTACCAAGCTTAATTAAATCTAGGAGCCAAAAATTAGTGGCCCGCCTGAACAGAGCTTTTTATTTCATAATATATGTAATAGTATTGTGTTTATACATTGGGTTTCTTACTTTCATGAGTGCTGGGAGATCTGGAATTCGCACAGCCCACGCACAAGTAGACGGCCACGACGACCAGCAGCCAGTTGCAGGCTGCGTTGCGCGTACCCATCATTGTTGTAACACAATAATATGTATGCGACAGACGGGTAAGTAATTATATTTCCAAGCTCGCCGACCACTGGTTATGACGTATACATTAGACCGACACAACAATTTGGGATATTGATTTTCGAAATTTACAGATTTACACGATGTGGGCCTAATAATAATTTATGGACACGAAACGCCAATATGGGAACTTAAACAACGAAAACGTGTATGGTTCGCACTTGCCAATCGACTAGAGCTCGTCGCCGGCGTTTAATAAGGAGATCCTGTTTTTTATTTGTATGTGTTTATTTATTTTAATTTTTTTTTCCAACTAACGATACCTATATCTACTGTATTTTCTTCGCCGACCGTTCCCACCAACGTTATGCGGCCGGTTTAATGAGGAAGAAACACTTTCATTCCGCGCGCCATCGTTTCCGGAACCGATAGCCTCTATCGAGTGGGGTTTTTTAGCGAGTCGTTCCGGTTCAGTGGAGTCCGGCTCATACATATACCTATACCTGCCTGCGTATAAAGTATCATGTAACGAGTAAAAACAAAAAACACAAAAAAACCTAACGGAGAAAAAAAAACTCAAAACACTGGGAAAACAAACGTAACAACAAACCGGCGCACACAATGGTCTGTTGGTGCTTCGGAAAAGCGATAAAACCGTTCGGGCAATTCAATGACCTTTTTTATAACGAATAACAATCGGCCATGTATACATGACACCACCTCCGACTTTACCTACCAAAATATTCCCACACGATAAACGTTTATAATATATTTTGCTGGAAGTCTACAAACTTACAATGAAAAAATTCTCGAGATTTAAAAAAATATAGTGTATATTATTTGTGGACACCGCAACTTTCTATTCTTAGGTGTAAAATCTAGCCAACTTTTAACCGTCCTACTTTGCATCTTGTATTATAGTCAATTATAACATGATACTCTATGATTTTTATTGATGAATAGTCAATAAGTAAAGTCTTATGGTGTCGTTTTATAATATCCAAATTTTTATGTTTTGAAGGACATCAATAGAAAACGATAGAAACACTATATCAAAAAAAAGCTCCTGAATCCTGATTCATGATGTGAAATACTGATTTCTAAGCGCCAAAAAAAGTTATTATTTTAAGACTATACATTTACTGTATTATAGACGAGTGTACTGCACAATATAGTAGGTAATAATGATAGATAGATTAGTTAAAATTATCAATGTATTTTTTAAAACCCAATAGTATATGTTATATAACTTTTAATTATAACTATATTTTTCCCTCTTTTTCAAGAACTTTGATACGTTCCCAAATAACCTTCTTCTTGAACACAATTTTAGTTACCTTATTGAGTATAGTTACTATCTTATAACGCAAAACATTTAAAACACATTATGATATGCTCATGTTTCAAATTTGCTCATACAACAGAAAATAAATGGCAGGTAATTAATGTTGATAAAAAAATAGCCATATATTTTTTTTTTCTGAATAGCCGATAGACGGCGTCCTATAATCTAATGACAATGCAAATTCATTCAAATTAGTTTTCGAGATATAAAAATACGCCCTTTTTGACATTAGAATTTTAGATTTCAATTGTATCATTAATTCCTCCCGGCTATACGGTATATCTACTTCTATAATATGTGTTTATATACCAACAAACGACGCTGTTAAACGTATCTATATGATGTTCAGCGAAACTAATTTGGTTAACATTATACTGTCACGGTCCCATGTCTATTGTTTTCATCTATCAAGTTGAACCCCTGCAATAAGTTTGGAAGTTACTAATACTATTGTTCATTACACTTGTTTAAATAATATAGAAATCAGAATTGTACCGCTGCAGTACTCTAAATTATATCAAACACAAAGTGACCAATTAATTAAAATTATTTACTTTGATAACGATGAATATTAATCAGAAATCGAAAATAACTTTTATTCTTGTTAATAACTAAAATGTATTTGAATTGCGATACTAATTACTAGCGATTTATTATTATTTGGATTTTATTGTTTTGTAACTTCTAATCAAAATAAACATTAGCCATTACAAAATGTTAGTCCACCTTGCCTTTTAGTTAACTAATTGTAAGGTAAAAACCGCTTACAATTACTTATTTCTACTTTATTTGGTTATATTCCAATTATTTCCACATTACTGTGTAAATTAACAAAAAAAAAAAAATATATTTGTCTCAAAGAAAAATATGTTACAGATTTTTTTTTAAAGTTAAAATATTTTTGTACACAATATTGTACCTGTAAGTATAGAATTTTTAATGTGTTCTCTGTTCATAGAACACATAATTTATTTAGACACGTCCAATGTAATGTCAATTATATACTTATATAATTTTTTTTAACAACAATTTTTTATAAAAGAAAATTACGTAATAACAATAATCCTAGTAACTAATATTTTACTACATACGATGGATTAGTGTGTGTTATCCAAAAAAATTCGACAAACAGATATCAAACTGACATTTTAAAAATTATATTTCGTTCTTAGAATGCCAGGAGTTATGACACAAATACATTTCGTTAAAAACATTATAATGACAATAATATGCTTAAAATTGTATTTTAGTAGGTAAAAGATTATAATTGATTATTTGTCTATAATAATTTGTTGCCGTTGTCGCAACTCGCAGTCAACAATATGTGAAAATATTTTCAAATACCAATTGCAGTTTCGTTTTTTAAGTTTTTAAGGGAGGCTGGGGAAGGCAATATTTTCGACCGGGCCATTTAACTGAAAAAAATCTATCGCGAGCTTCTTGGCACATTTTTATAACCTTACATAATTTTATATTTTTTAAGGATGATTTTCCGATGTATTCAGTTTTATTCTAATGTTACAGACTCATTACAGAGTACACATCTTCAGAGCTGAGTTATCTCGATCAGGGGGGGTGTTGTACGGCAAAACTCATAGTTCATAAATAGCGATAAGAAACAAGCAAGACAGTGAGTATAGTCACGATAGCGAAATGGGAAAACGTCAACCTAGAACAGTAGACATGAAAACATCCGATAAATTTCCCCATAATGGTTCAATCCATAAAAGCTTTAACACATTCATAATTTTATATTTGTTAATTTAATATCATAGACACAAATTTCCCAACATTTGGGAAGAAAATTGACCAAAAAACGACGTGAGACGTGCGACGTGGTACCTACTTGATGAGAATTTAGTTTACTGGGAACTTGTCCCTTTCAGCTTCGTCTTGTAAAATGCAAAATAAACAATAATCGAGATCTACCTTCAGATTAATTTTCAGACTTTAAGCCCTAAAACTTTGCTAGAAAAAGGGAAACAAAGAAAAAGTATCCATCCCTTCTAGGAGAAAAGGGTTTATGATATTATTTTGACTGTCGACGTTTATCGGTAGTAGTATGTGTAATTGTAAAAATTAGGTGCATTTGTAAAAATGTCTAAGATACTTAAATGTCATGATTTTTCACTAGGCACTAAGATTAGAATATTAAGATGTTATATCTTTCCTATTTTATTATATGGTGCCGAAACATGGACATTAACTGAAACATTGAGTAAGAAAATTGAGGCATTGGAAATGTGGCTGTACCGCCGTATCCTAAATATCTCATGGACAGATCGAGTATCCAACATGTGCGTACTACAAAGAATGCAAAAGGAAAAAGAATTACTGAAAACTATAAAAACACGGAAATTAGAATACCTGGGTCACATAATGAGAAATAACCATAGATATGGACTGCTACAACTTATACTTCAAGGAAAAATAGAAGGCAAGAGAAGTGCTGGTAGACGAAGGATACCTTGGCTAAAAAATCTCCGGGACTGGTTTAGCACAACATCAATTGAACTATTTCGTTCGTCGTTAGTAAGAGAAGCAATATTCAATATGATTTCCAACATCCGAAACGGATAAGAACTTCAAGAAGAAGTATGTGTAAAGAATATTCCCTAGAAATTTGAAACTAATACGACTATTTTTAAAAGTGCCTTAATTTTAGCCTTAAGGTTGAAAAATATATACGTTTTATCGGTGATTTTCTCAATTTTTAAAGGGGTTGAGTAAATTTTTTAAATTTTTAGCGAACTATAATATACACTTTTAGGTACGATTTCTGATCTATAGTATAGACTTGCTACTTGAGGAAATCGGTTTAGTGGGTTAAAATATACCATTGGTCTATACAAAAAATATATACAATTTTAAAAATGTATTAATGTAAAAACTTATTCGTACCTTCTCAGCTGCGCATCGAAGCTAAAACCAACAAACATGTATATGTACTTAAAAGTTAAACTACATATATTTAATACATATTATATTTATCACTGTAAATTGTAATTATTTTTAGAAGTTCTGGAAAAACATAAGGAATTTGATATAAACCTTTGGAAATAAAAAACATATTATGTATACCGTCACTTTAGTATTAATTAAGATTTCTTATGAAGTTTTTACGAATTATAATTCAGATTAAAGCAAAAAACTATTAATTTAATATGTCGATAGTATATACAAAATGTATTTAAATAAGAAGAATAGTGATTAAAACAAGTAGAGGATTAGAGGAAAGAAAAACAGAAGAAGTTAAGGCAATAAATTAATAAATAAATTTAATCTTAACAATCTTTTATTCTTAAGATTTTTTTTATAAATATAATTATCTGCGGCATATAACATATAACTATTTAATTCGGGTTTTTTACTAGGCAACCTATCAACCTAATCCCGGTTTAGAAAGCCATACGAGTAATTATAATTAGGTTCTTATATAAATATCGTTCAGTTACCGAAAGTACCGCGTACTTCTATATGACTTATTTGCGATTATTATAGAAATTAAGTATCCTTCATCACAAGAGAGTGTTTCTCAGGTTTTTTATATCCAGATTATAAGGATATGTAAAAAACCATACATTTTAATACTTAATTATTGCAACTATTTTTAAATAATTGTTTAATTTCGTTGAAAGACTCGCTGAAGTCGTGCAAATGAGTTTTCATAGTGTCGGCCATAGATTTAAAATCCCATTCTTCCTTATCGGTTTGTCGACCTTCTGAACTCTTCGCGCCTGCGTACTTGTCCACATTTGGCTGCGCACAAATGTTTCGAACAGCGGCCGAAGCCTTTATTTCGGTCATTTCATTTTTTAAACGTTTGTTTTCTCGTGCACGCTCTTCGATTGTACATTTTAGCTGGTTTATGTCGTGCTTCATAAAATTTATCTTTCTGTCGCTCAGTTGTATTTCGTTGGCCAGCTGTTCTCGTTCAGTCTCATACTTTTGAACCGCAATTTCAGCACACTGTTGAATCTTTTTAGCATCCTGCCGCTGTTGTTCCAACGTCGACTCCAACCGCTCGACGTCTTTCTCATATTCGTCCATCTGACACTTGAGCCTCTCCCTTTCGGCGTGCGCCTCGCAATGCTTATTTTTAACCGCCATTAGCTCTTTGCCGACCTCCTCGGCTTCGGCCTTAAGCACGCTGATCTCCTGGTCGGTCTTGCATTTGTCTTGTAAACGTGATTCTTGGAGCTCCACGATAATCCTTTTCAGTCTTTCAATTCGACCGGCTTGCGCCTCTAACTCCTGTTGTCGGTCTTCCAGTAACCGTTTGGACTCGGCTATATCGGTGTTTTTTGTACTCAACTGACACTGTAGCCCGGCCAGTTCGGACTGCAACGCGCTAACCCTCCTTTCCGTTTGATTTTTCAATTCTGCCATAGACGACTTCAGACACATGTGCTGCGCCTGACCTTCGGCGATTCTCTTCTCTAGCTCGGCTAGTTCTGTTTTTTTGTCCGCAGTGGCTTTTTGCGCCCTGGCCAAGTCCTGCGCACTCGAATGAAGTAACATATCAGCCTGTTCCAATTTAACGCGCAACTGCTTGCCGTTCTCCACCTGGTTGGCCATTTTTTTGTGCAGTTTACACGTTTCGTTTTTAACATCCACCTTAGCGTTTTCCAGCTCTCTGACAACGTTCTCCTGTGTCTGAAACGCATCGGTCAGCTCGGTCAGCTCACACCTCAACTTGTCGTTTTCCTCTCGGTATTTGTCCACTCGATCGCACTGCGAATCGTACGAACTACACAGACAGTCATATTTACCGATGAGCTGGCCGAACATGTCATTTTGCTTTTGGATGACCGACTCCTTCCAACAGTCAATGGTGTATAACTGTTCTTGCAGACGATCCCTTTGTGTCACCACGGTATCGTAACCACACAGCGAGTCTTCCAGATCCCTGATCCGATTTTCGGCTTCTAGCAGTTGGCATTTTAAATTTTCTTGATTTTCTGTCATTATGTTACAATTGTTCAAAATGTTTTATTTAACTTTAAAGTAATTTGTATTTATTTATTATTTCCATATACATGTTGACGATGAAAAATAAACAATCAACACGGTGGTTTAAGAGTTTCCCGAAAACAGGGCGACCAACAAACTTTTGAAATTTGATTATTTTAATTAAAAAAACCCGCAATGGTTTATTATACAGGTATATTCTCTGGCTACCAGTGTTATTTAAATACGTCATATTCACGTTTCAAAATTAGGTAGTTTACAAAATTGAAGTGGTAAAAAAAATCGGTGATTGAAACAGAAAAAAAATTAAAATACCACTGTATAACATAATCAATTATAAAATATACTACACTATACCAGTTGTTAACTCTTTTAATAATATTTGTTGACAAATTGTCTAGGTTTCTCAGGAAGCCGATCTTCGATTTAAAATTTGGTATGCCTAAAATAAATTAAAATATAATTTGGTAATTATCACTGAATTTTCCAAAGTAATATCATAATTTTGGAGGTCTTCAAAAGAGAAAATTGAAAATCGCCTTCCTTAGAAACCTGTATAATTGGTTAACAAGTACATACATATTTCAAAAATTAAAATCAAATATTGGGAAGTATGTCTAATTTAACACCGCTTATTAGTTATTGGTCTAAAACGCATGAAAATATTAGTTGTGCTCCGACCCCCTTAATAGAAATAAAATATCGATAAAAGCCTTGGGAAAACAATAATGTGTTTTTAAGATAAGAGTGAATCCCCGATTAAGGTTGATCGTCTGTCTATAATAATTTTTTGCAGTTGTTACCCGTGTATCGTAATCACTTACCTACCTATCTGATAACCTCTAACTACTAAATTATTTCATGCATAGCAACCGATTTAATTTATTGGTTCAATAAAGTAGACCTTTTACCTTCGCCATACGATTTCTGATATACAAACTTGCTACATGAAGAAATCGGTTCAAAGATCTAAAAAATATCGTGGATTCAGACACACACACAAAAAAAAAACAATAATAAATAAATAAAGACACATTATTATAAAAACAATGCCTTTCAGCTCTTCGTCGAATCTAAACAACTGATTTTATATTATAATACTTAAAATATATTATACATATTAATTTTATATTTAAAAAAAGTTATACTTATCTTTATTTTTTAAGATCGAAAATTAAGTGGTGTAAAATAACGGTGATGTTTTTTTGAGATGGTTGATATAATATTTGATGGTTGACGGTGATATTTTTACATCATTAAATTAAAAAATTAGTTTTTCCCACTATATTATAAAATATAATATATCAATATACAAGAAGGAATTTCGATATAACAGATATACCGCACCCCGTCACTTCAAAGATGTGTTAATGAAAATATTATATGTTCCTCCCCTTTCTTATCCTTCCTTTCACCTTCATCTTCTTTTCTCAATTTTCTCCCCAACTTTCCTTTTTCCCTCCTTTCTCCTATCTTCTTCTCCTTCCCTTCCCCTTCTCTACCGCTCTTCTCTAAATAATCAGAAACCATTTACAATATACAATGTAAGTTGTACATAACCATTTACAGCTGTTGAGTTTTCAAACAAATTTTAATAAAATAAAATGTGTTGGCTTAAAAAATAAAATCATTACAATTTCAATAATACGAAAGTCGGTTTTTAATAATAAAGTAGATAGCTTTTTTTATAAAAAAAAACTGCTTTCTAGCAACGAAATCCAAACTTGGAGACTGTTAACTTATTGCCTTAACGATGAGCAACGTCTCTCAAAACAACGCAACGAAACATAGTTATAGAAAAATGTATTTTAAAATTTAATTTTTGCCATTTATTTTTACAAAATATTTACATCTTATAATTGTGTGCATTCAAATATTTTGTGGGTTAAGACTTAAATGGTACCAGTGTTTGTTGTCTTATTTTTAGTTGGTGTCAAAACAAACACGAATATTGTTTTCCACAGTATTAGTTGAAAAATAGATAGGATATTCGAAGCAAAAAAAACATTTTTGTTATTTATCAAGTCATTTAATCATTTATTTTTAATCCAGGATAATATTGATTCCACGCTTATTTCACAATTATATTATTGATAGGTAGCAAATAACACTGTTTGTTTCCTAATGGTTGGGGATAATGTATTTTTACTTTAAAATGAAGACATTTGAAAAAAAAAATAGATTGTAATGTATTTTACGATCGTAATTATTAATCGTTTTCAAGAATGTTACATAGAATAGATGGAAAAAAAGAAAACATAGTTATACAAAATTTAAAAAAATGTAATTAAAAAATCATATTATTACTGATCGATGATGATGAGTTCATCAATACCCCAATCTTCATAACTGTTGTCAGGCAAATATCTTCTGATAATTATAGGTATCTTACGCTTTTTTAATTCTTTCATTGCTATCTGCAAAGGATCAGTTTCACCTTCGAGTTCTACCATTACTGGAGCACACATGGCTATCTGCAGAGCTCTGGTTCCTAAAACTCGAGCTCTTTCATACCTGTACAAAAAATTGGAATATACTAAATAATGTAAAATTGAAACACATTTAATAATGTAAAAAAAAAAGAAGTGCTAACCCTCATTTAAGGATACATTATAACCCTGGTTTTAAATATGTCTACGCTGCATGCGTACTAAAAAAAAAGCTACCATGGATTGAATAAAATATATTCTGTATAGCTATGTTTAGGTGAACATTTTATGTCAAGGATGCTATGATAATCAGATAAAAACAATCGAGTCCTAAATACTGTACTAACAAATAAACATCACAGTTTAAGAGGAAGCCACACAGGCCATTTCTAAGGAGTAAAGTATAGGCAATTTTTCGAAAAATCTTAATTTAGAGTTTGAACTATAATGCATACTTATTAGTACAGTAATGAGGATACATTGTTGAATGCCATTTTTTTTGTCACACTATCACAGTCATTTCTATAGGATAAATTACAATTTTTTCCCTTCAAAACTGCTTTGCGCGAATTAATTTTTCTCAGGCTTCATTATAGTTAATACAAATAAATAAATAAATAATAATAAAATAAAAATAAATTCATACATATTAATTATTACAAAATGATCTGTGTTCTATCATCCATATTTTTTCGATATACCTAATACAACCAACGCTATACCATTTTTAAAAAAGTAAAAAAATCTTTTCTTAATTAATTAATTATTCATTAACTGGTTGAAATATTAAAAAAAGAGCGTTGGTAGAGCACAGACAATGTTGTTTAAATTATGTAAAAATTTGGTCTCTTAGTTTTGATTACAGCCTTTGTAAAATTAATACGGGCAAGGCGGGGTTTTTGAAGAAAATAACGGGTTTGTGACGTCCTCTTAAACTATAAGTTAAGATTTTGCAAAAAAAAATGCCTATATATATCAGACTCCTTAATAAAAAAACAGGTTATAACGTCCTCTTAAATTATAAATAAATAACTATTTTATAGAAAACTGTTTAAGCATTAACACTATTTAATTATATCTAGACAATTATGTTAATATATTGTTGTGTTTGAATACAAGGATTGGTCTATGTAGCTAACACCAGAATAATCTACTACAAAATTAAGACAGCCATTCGTTTTTTTGCTATAAGAATTTTTTTGAGAAATTTTTTTGTTGCGTGTATACACATGTCCCAGTATAACAGCTAATTTTCACCAGTACCGTACACACTACACTGTTTTCCAATAGTCGAGTGTTGTCTATAGTAAGTGAATGATGAAATATTCGACGTACTTAGTCATGTATTTTGTAGTGATACGCTTAGATTTCTGAACTTGGCTTTGAGCTTCTTGAATTGGCAAAATGTCTATGTTGTCTTCATTTTCCTTAAAAATAATAGATATAACATTATGAATCCAAATAATACATAACTAAAGTGTACTAAATATATTATAACTGTCAATTTAATTACAAAATAGCTTAAGCTTGGTAATGTGGCGAATGCAGGCAAAAGGTTGCCGGCCGGTGTCTGAAGACATTGTTCGGTAGTTGTCGTGTGCGTATTTATATGTGCGCTCTGGGTGACTTTGATCACATGCTAGAAGTTCGCTACGGTTCGTCACAACTACCGAGATCTGGCGATCTGACCATGTGTTGAGGCGGTATCGATGCCGACAGCTAGGTTGTGCTAGCTGTGGCGCCTCGTAGCCATACATCCGCCACAGTAACAAAACTTAATTTTTGTAATTTTTTTAAAAAATGCAATAACAAAAATTATAATTCATTTTTATAATACTAGTTTTTAAATTTAGATATTTTTGGTAAAATCATAATTCATCTAGCATATGAAGGTAGTTGCTATTCGTGAGCAGCAATATACATTATTATTATTGCGTATGGCTTTTATTGACAGGGAGTAGGTAAGGATAACGCCTAGTTCAAGTCGCCTATGAGTGGGATGGTAGTATTTCTCTCTCTAGACAGTTGCCCGCCAAAAGAGAGAGACCATTGTAGAATAGCACTATACATATAATCACATCTCACATCGTCCTACCCTTCTTTTTGTTTTTTGCACCTTTTTAGAACAAATTATAAAATTTGTACTTATTTGCTTTTTTTTTTTAAAAAGGCAGCTTTAAACAAAGGCTTCCTTCTGTTTTAAAGAGTTCTGTTTTGACAGTTCAGAGATTGCTTGCATAGTAGTATGAGGTTAGATTTTTTTTTCTTTATACGTTAATTATTTTTTAACGACACTATCCTAACAAGAGTTTCGCAGGGACTCAAGTCAGATTATTGAGTTGGCAAGCGTTAGGAGTCCCTTAACACGGGTAAAGGTTTAATTAATTGAATGTTATGTATTTTAATAGTTATCAAAGGCAAGTAAAAAAAAATGTTAGCATAATAATTTTTGTTCATTAAAAAAAAAAAAATACGAAAACGATGATTTTACTTTTTAAATTAAAAAGTTAGTATGATATTCAATATCTGACTTTTTCAGCATACAAAAATACACTTATCTCACAAACAAAATGTATTGTTGTTTTTTTTTTGAGAAATTCGCAATAAAATTAACTTTTGAAAAAATCTGTAAATGTATTAAAAAATGTAATATAATATAATTTGCAAAAGTATAACTTATAGAATTTACTAATAAAGTAGTTTACATTTTTTATTTACAAATTTAATTTATTAATCACAAGAAACTGAATTTTTTAAATGATTTTAAATTTTAATATATTCTATGGCTACATAACATAGTAGCCATAGAACTATGATTTCTTTACAAAATTGAAATCAGACCACCTTAAGCAGTCAAAATTTTGAATAGCTTTTTGGTCTAAAATACCATTCAAATATCGTTTAATCATTGAAAAAAATATACAAGTTAAAAATAATACCTTGAAGCTTATACAAATTAATTGACATGATCGAACATTTATTAAAACTCCTTTTATCTTAAATATTGCCTATAAAAAATCTTCTTAAAACCATCTGCTTTCAATTCCCTTAAAAGTTTTTTTTTTACAAACCTATAAATAACTTTTTAAATTTTTATCACGGAGCTCAGGAAATATTATTATTTACATAATTTACAAAAATTAATTTTTTTGTTCTGTTTCCTGATCACAGAAATTTGTCTAATTTCTTCTCTAAAACTATTAATGTTTTGTTTGCTTACTTCAGGCTGATCCAAGTCATCTAAATCTGGTTCATCTTCAACATCCTCAAAATCGTCAGCACCACCACTAAATAATATAAAAATCTATTAGAATGGTATTAACCTAATTGAAACTACTTATATAGTAAAATTTTAGTATTCATCAAAACAAGCAGAGCTTCTGTGCGAGGGGGAAAGAGATCACCGTTTTGCAGACTGTGGAAATAAAATCGATACGTGTATTATGTAAAACCCACCTATTTTTTTCAATATCAAAGGATAATTAAATAAAATAATATGTTTTTTACCTAGACAGAAGTATATTTAATAGGAAAATAACCAAAAATTTCAAAATTAACATATTACATGAGATGTCTAAAAGTCTGTGTGTAATGCTTCAAACGCGTCTCCGTGCTCTCATTTCGTCAAGCCCTAATTAGTGCTACATTTTTTACTTTTTATTATATTAACTTATTTTTAAATTTAAACTTGACTAAACTTTAAGCCTGTGACCTCTTTCTAGACTGTAAACTGCAAAACTAGGATATTATTAATTTAGCGGAGCAAAGCGACCTGCCGTCTTATAGAGGTCTATAAGTGGGGGGGGGGAGGCAAGTATATGTTTCATTAGGAACTGTGTTAATGTGTAGTGTTATTAATTTTATCCAATTATCTTCTGATATTGAAAAATGTAGGGGGTCCATGTAGTACACAAGTACCTCAAAACTCAATACAAATCATGCACTAAAGTCAAACTACAATTTGTCCTACAATTGTCGTCACCGATGTATGGAATTATTCCTACCATTCATGACTATACTAAGTCTAAAATCCTATTAAATACAAGTTTCGCTTATTTAAGGAGCTTTAAACAACTTATCACGCTTTATGATTTGTATATGATAATTGATGAATGATAATAAATTATTTATTTTGTAAAAATGTGAAAAATTTTAGTTTTAAAACATTTAGCCATTCACTTAGTTTAACCACGTATTCAAGTTTAATAACAATTACTTACTCGTCATGATCAAATTCTTCATCGGCCATGATCTATTGTTTATTAATCCAAACAAATAATAGCTGATAGGAATAAAATAATAATTGTTAAAAAAATATCTAACTAACTATAATTAATAAGTTAAATAAGTCCACGCCGCATAATCAAGTGTTGTACTTACTTGCGAGTTTTTAGATTTATAATATTATGATAGATTCGAATTGGTTTTAGTTAGGTACGAAAATTGAAAAATCGCAAGCAAAGATTTACGAGTGTGAAGTTAGCCATAAACGAGCCAGCAATATTTGATAACAGAAAGTGTCATGGCGTTGGTGTATGTTGTGTTGCAAATACACTTATTATTCTAAGGGGCAGTCCATATATACCCCAAACACCGACGATTATTATTATACGATATCGACTTAAATAATTAAAATATATTATAATTATCGACAAAACAGTAAGAGTATATTATTTAACTTAAAAAAATGGCACTTGGGGTTTTGCGGCCGCCGAACCCAACCCAGCAATAAAAAAGCGGCCGACCGCCGACCGATTGCCGACCTAAAACGACGGCAGTTATGTCAATTTTTGACAATGTTCCGGAAGAGGTCCCCTCAATTTGATTATACCAATCGAAAGCTTACTAAAATGTCTAAAAATTCGTCTCTATGAAAAAAGTTGGCACCAGGGGTCTTGCGGCCACCAGAAGCCGCCGAACCCAACCCAGCAATAAAAAAACGGCCGACCGCCGACCGATTGCCGACCTAAACCGACGGCAGTTATGTCAATTTTTGACAATGTTCCGGAAGAGGTTCCCTCAATTTGACTATACCAATCGAAAGCTTACTAAAATGTCTAAAAATTCGTCTCTATGAAAAAAGTTGGCACCAGGGGTCTTGCGGCCACCAGAAGCCGCCGAACCCAACCCAGCAATAAAAAAACGGCCGACCGCCGACCTAAACCGAAGGCAGTTATGTCAATTTTTGACAATGTTCCGGAAGAGGTCCCCTCAATTTGATTATACCAATCGAAAGCTTACTAAAATGTCTAAAAATTCGTCTCTATGAAAAAAGTTGGCACCGGGGTCTTGCGGCCACCAGAAGCCGCCGAACCCAATCCAGCAATAAAAAAACGGCCGACGCGCCGACCTAAACCGACGGCAGTTATGTCAATTTTTGACAATGTTCCGGAAGAGGTCCCCTCAATTTGATTATACCAATCGAAAGCTTACTAAAATGTCTAAAAATTCGTTCTATGAAAAAAGTTGGCACCAGGGTCGCGGCCACCAGAAGCCGCCGAACCCAACCAGCAATAAAAAAACGGCCGACCGCCGACCGAAACCGGCGGCAGTTGTCTACTAGTTTTTTTAAATTGATGGTAAATAAACTAAGGTTAATTAGTGTCTTGTTTTTATTTTATTTTATATTTGTAATATTATTCATTTTTTTTTATGACTGTTAAATAAGGTTTTATAATTTTTCAAGATAATACAAATCATATTGTAACAAATCTACAGTCACCAAAAAAACTATGTATGGAATATTTAATTTTTCAGGAAATAGTTAATTATGAAAAAAAAAATTATAGTTTGTTATTTAAAATAAATAATATTATTGACTACCTATATAAATATATTATGTTAAAATACACTATTTCCACTGAATTTTGCCAAAACAAACTAAGTTGTGAATATGGTACGTTTTGGCGCGATTCGTTTCACAAAATTATGTTTTAATGTATCTAAATTTAAATTTACATATTAACAATTATCATAAATAAGTTCAGATTTCTTTTATGCATTTTTAGAATATTACAGTTTTTGTCTATGACTTTCTTATATGCTACAACAGAAATTTGATGTCACTGGAAAAAGCGAAAAATAGCAATAGCACGTTTTGCATTGTCGCCCTTCAATTTGGGTGTTCTTTATTATAAAGCTATTATTTAGTAGAGTAGTGCGACTGCAACAAGTACTCGGGTAAATTATATTAACTACAAACTGTTTAAAATATTTATTATGCTAAATATCCAGTTTAACCAATAAAACTTTTTATTATTATACTAATATTAACTAAGTTTAAATGTGTTTAATTATTTAACAACGACTCCTAGTCCTGCCGATACCGTTAGTCGTTTAGTGTACTGTACGGTCCTTCACAGACGCGTACACTACAGCTGCAACGAATGGATATGATTTTTCTTATGCTACATTAAAATGATGTAGGCTGTAGCCTGTAGGGCATGTGTACAAATTGCTGGAAATTATTATTCTATAGCTAAATATTAAATAAATATTATGAAATCGTAATGCTTAATTTATTTTCCTACTGCTGTAGTCTACTACATAGTACACTTACAAAAAAATAATTCTTTGAGATTTTTTTTTATTTTTGCTTAAATTTGTATTTACTGGCCTATAAGTTAGCTACGCAAAATGTGTTTTTAAAAACCACTATGGACTATTTCAAAGGGATTGTAATGGATTACTACAATTAACTAAATGACCGATTTCTCCTCGAACGATAATAATGCACGACCTAAATGGGTTTTTTCTCTACTTTGTAGCCCAAAGGGTAAAACAACGTAATAAATTGTAAACTCCAATTATAAATTGTAAAAACCGATTTATTCATACAACTATAAGAAATCGTGTACTCTGTACCTAGCCAAAGGGTAAAACCATGGCATAAATTGTAAACTCCAATTATAAATTGTAAAAACCGATTTATTTATACACTATAAGAAATCATATACTTTGTACAAAAAGAGATTGTAAAAACACACGAATAAGCCATTTTAATAAATCAACTATCCGACAATGTTCCACAATTAACAATGAACAGCTCAGCCATTCACCCGCAACCCGGACTCGGAGATTGGCCATTGCACCACTTGGGAGAGGTCAACGAGCCGCCAAAGGACGACTCCTTCCACGACGATCGGACGGCCATTTGACGTAAATACGAGCTGCCTCGCCATGCGGGCTTCAGAAGTGTTTTGGCTGTGTATTATGACATACCTGCAACAAGCACTCATTTTCGTTATCTGTGTATCAACTTAATGCTTATATTGTAATACATATATTACCTATTTTTTAATTGAAAGTATTAACTTTATTTACGAAACATCCATCTTCCTTCTTCAACCTTTTGTGTACAAGTACTCAAAGGCCACGAACTTGCGAGAACTTTACAGGATGATAGAATATCGGGTCTAGTATGATTATAAAATTAATTCAATAACACAATGTAATTATGTAAGCAGCTCATAATTCTGGGTTATTGTTAATTTATGTTAATGGATTATATTATATATTAGTTTATATTATATTATTTTATATATTATAGTTAGGTTGTTTTGCAGGATGTCATGATTGGCTAAATGACATCATAGCCCATAGGCCTTAAACTTTTAAATTGTTATTACACAGTATTTCTTATTGTAAACTAGGTCACGTCTAGTTACCCCTTGTAATTATTTTTAAAATTCGTGGGTGCGCGTGAAAAAGGGGTTAAGTCAACCACTATGAACTTTTCAGGAAATGGAAAATAAAGTTTAGAAGAATATGTAAGATCAGGTATTAGGATAAGATAAATATCTTTTTAATAAGATAATAAAATAACTTGTTTTATACTTTCCTGTATAAATTAGAACTAGAACACTATTCAATTGTAAATTCAAAAATATTTAAGTCGACTTATTACAAAATACACTAAGATCAGAAAAATAGTGACATCTCATCAAACACTTCTTTATTATTCATTGAATATTACACTTAGACTTAAACTATAAAACACAAATGATAGTTTTTTTTGTGAATTTGTCGGTGCATATAACTCATTTTGCACAAAATGTTGACTTAACCTCTTTTTCACGCGCATCCACGATAATATTATTAGGCCTTCCTAGTTCTCTAAGTTAAACGTCATTCACTAATTTATATATTACTATATAAACTGATTTTTAATTAACCACAATTAGGCCAGTTACTTATGCCAGATCATAGACATAGTGTGTCAGTAAAAGTTATAATTATATATATATATATATATATAATTGTTATTGTGTGTTTATTATAAATTACAGCTTTAAAGTCTTTTAAGTTAAAACGTGGTTTATATATATTCTCTTGGTCCTCAATTTTATGTAGTGAGCTCTGCTTACTACAATAGCATATATTTAATCTATAGTAGTGACGCAACGCCACCAGTTAGGTGCCTGTTATTTTTTTTTTTTTAGATACTCCAAAGTAGCTTAGCTGCTTTAAATAGATATTTTATATACTATTTATCATGGTTTTTTCCACGGCACGGGGCACCTGCTGCGCCGGTTACTGTTGTCACGCCCAGTGCCTTTCAACATACGATAATGCTCTATTATTGTTATTATTGTTATTGTTATCAAACATGCCAGTTGCCACCTAAAACCGGTTTTGGTCGCGGTGCCCGAACCCGGAGATTTCGGCGCGACCGATTCGCCGCCAGAACAAGGGACGTTAAAATTATAATATATAACGAGGAATTACTTAATGCCATTCTAGAGGGGCTAGGATTTTATAACACAGAGATTAATGTATATTTATTTAATTTTAGTGTCAATGAAATATTGATTTTTAAATCGAATCTGTTTATACAAATATATATTAAATACACTTTTAATTTATACAAATGTTTTGATTATGCATAAATGTAATGCAATGTTTTTTAAAATTAACTTTTAAAAAAATAAGTACAGATTGATTTATATATTGTTTTCATTAAATGTAATATAAAATTATTTTAAAACAAATTATATGATTAGTTAACCATTATATAAGCACTTCTTCGGCGGTCGGTAGACGGCCGGCTGCTTATATTTTTGTGCCTGGGTTCGGCGGCTTCTGGTGGCCGCAAGACCCCCGGTGCCAACTTTTTTCATAGAGACGAATTTTTAGACATTTTAGTAAGCTTTCGATTGGTATAATCAAATTGAGGTGACCTCTTCCGGAACATTGTCAAAAATTGACATAACTGCCGTCGGTTTAGGTCGGAAATCGGTCGGCAGTCGGCCGCTTTTTTATTGCTGGATTGGGTTCGGCGGCTTCTGGTGGCCGCAAGACCCCCGGTGCCAACTTTTTTCATAGAGATGAATTTTTAGACATTTTAGTAAGCTTTCGATTAGTATAGTCAAATTGAGGGACCTCTTCCGGAACATTGTCAAAAATTGACATAACTGCCGTCGGTTTAGGTCGGCAATCGGTCGGCGGTCGGCCGTTTTTTTATTGCTGGATTGGGTTCGGCGGCTTCTGGTGGCCGCAAGACCCCCGGTGCCAACTTTTTTCATGGTGACGAATTTTTAGACATTTCAGTAAGCTTTCGATTGGTATAATCAAATTGAGGGGACCTCTTCCGGAACATTGTCAAAAATTGACATAACTGCCGTCGGTTTAGGTCGGCGGTCGGCCGTTTTTTTATTGCTGGATTGGGTTCGGCGGCTTCTGGTGGCCGCAAGACCCCCGGTACCAACTTTTTTCATAGAAACGAATTTTTAGACATTTTAGTAAGCTTTCGATTGGTATAATCAAATTGAGGACACCTCTTCCGGAACATTGTCAAAAATTGACATAACTGCCGTCGGTTTAGGTCGGCAATCGGTCGGCGGTCGGCCGCTTTTTTATTGCTGGATTGGGTTCGGTGGCTTCTGGTGGCCGCAAGACCCCCGGTGCCAACTTTTTTCATAGAGATGAATTTTTAGACATTTTAGTAAGCTTTCGATTGGTATAGTCAAATTGAGGGGACCTCTTCCGGAACATTGTCAAAAATTGACATAACTGCCTTCGGTTTAGGTCGGCGGTCGGCCGTTTTTTTATTGCTGGGTTGGGTTCGGCGGCTTCTGGTGGCCGCAAGACCCCCGGTGCCAACTTTTTTCATAGAGATGAATTTTTAGACATTTTAGTAAGCTTTCGATTGGTATAGTCAAATTGAGGGGACCTCTTCCGGAACATTGTCAAAAATTGACATAACTGCCGTCGGTTTAGGTCGGCGGTCGGCCGGCGGTCGGCCGTTTTTTTATTGCTGGATTGGGTTCGGCGGCCGCAAAACCCCAAGTGCCATTTTTTTAAGTTAAATAATATACTCTTACTGTTTTGTCGATAATTATAATATATTTTAATTATTTAAGTCGATATCGTATAATAATAATCGTCGTTGTTTGGGGTATATATGGACTGCCCCTTAGAATAATAAGTGTATTGGCAACACAACATACACCAACGCCATGACACTTTCTGTTATCAAATATTGCTGGCTCGTTTATGGCTAACTTCACACTCGTAAAGATTTGTGTTTGTTTGGTTTGTATTTGTTATCAATTAATACGCTTTTGTACTAATCACGATTAGGCCATGGAATATGAACGATTGATAAGCACATGTGTACGCCACAAACGAAACGCCAAAATGAAAATCCTTACGTTAGTACCGATTTTAGAATTATTTTTATTATATTTCACATGTTTATAATAATAGTAGCAATTTATTTGTTTAGATGTCAACAACGAAAATCGCTAAAATGCTTTAGACCTCCATTTCCTCCACTGAGGTCCTGATATTTTCAATTTTTAATGACTATTTCCAATCTTAAATACTTACTACTAATATTTTAATTGCATTTTTATAATTTTGCCCGGAAGGGTTTATTTTACAATAATATAATTTTATAGGAATTAAATAATCAATGATATAAGAGCACAACATTCAAAAGATTCGTACAAAGGCGGTTACCCTAGACCTACAAAGAAGTATATTTATGTTATAGGTCTATCATACTTCGATGAAGAAGATAATTAACTCACTATAACGCCTTCCTTAACTAAAGGATGTGTGCAAATCATATAGACCCATAAAGAAAATAATTTATAGGTCAATGGTGCAAATGGCTAAGGATAGGATAATTTCTTCTTCGAAAATAAATTGTTTAACACTTTCTGTTATCAAATATTGTGCTCTACCTTATCAGTAGTCATAAGATTGAGGTTACAACAATATTTTAATTTCAATAATATCAAAAAAAGAATTAATTCTTAAACTATACTATGGAAATTTTATAATAGTTACTTTTTGATTGTTATTATGTATTACAAATTGTTATGTTTCTTTCGTATTATGTTGAAAATACGTACTTAATTCTAGTTGTCTTTTTTGTTTTACGTTTCCTGCAAATTACTTTTCGGTATCTAACGTTTTGGAAAACACTTAATTAAACCTATTTGGTTTTAAGAACTACTTTATTTTTTAATCATAATAGAGCGGATAAATTGGACTAAAATATATCATATATTCATATTTACGTTATTAAATTAGTTAATTTAGATAAATTAATCATATGTCATTAGCAAATTTTTAAATTGTAAGTGTGTTGATATTGAATAAAATCTCATAGTTCCATATTTTATAATAATAAATTAACTTACAATATATTTTTCGAATTGTTTAAAGAAATATATTATGAATAAATTGGGCAACTGTTTGCATTTTATGCGACTGAAACATAAAGCATCATTAAATATTATAAATCACTTATACTCCTCACAGAAACAAATATTAAATTACCTTCCAGCAGTTTCTTATTTGCCATCAAGTGAGTATATTATTTCTTTATTTTGTATGTTCATTAACCTTTCTGCTGCTGACACTAAACACTTATCCTGTGCTAGCTAATTTTTTTAGCAAAATTAAAGAATTTATATTAAGTATAATATGCTGCCCTTTTAGTAAAAAGGGCAGCACTTATTTTAGTTTTCTATTTCAAATTAATTAATAATAAAAAATACATAAGTACAGCTTAGCAGGTTGGTACTTTAGTGTGGTGTTTATACATGTACACAGCAGTAAAATGGTTAAAATGTAAACACTTGTTTTCTTTCAGGTTTTCTGACGGTAACTAGATACTTGTCAAATGACACTCAAACAGATTTAAAAAATGTCACAATTAATAGTGATGTTTTGTTATTAAGTATAAAAAAAGCTAGCAGTACAAATGATGTATTGGAAATGTTAAGAATACACAATAATGTTATGACTCCACTTCAACACATGGAAGCACTTAATACTATTTTTATTTTGCAAAAGAAACAATGGTAAATATATAATGAGCATTCCTTTTTTTAAATTTTTGTTCACAATTCAAAATGTGATTTCCAGTACCAAATTATCAAATGAAGAACTGATTCGTAGTCCAGAGTTTACAGTACTGTGTCGTAAAATTTTAAATCAATCAAGACATCTTGATCTTAATAATGTTTTAACAAACATTAAGTGTTTATCATATTTGGGCGTACCTGTAAACAGTAACATTATGCAAATGCTGTTGCAGATAATGAGCAAAATGGTCAATGAATTGTCCTTACAACAAATAATGTTTCTACAGTTTTTACTGAAAGATTTATCATCGTGTCCATTAGTTGATGCTCTTAAACTTGCATTACCGATTGTTTTTGAAGCTCAGATACAATACAAAATGATAGACAACCTATACTGGCAAGTGGAGTTCCTGAACTATATTACAAAACACAAATTATCTCAGGGTACATTTGATTTTGTCATGTCGAAAATTAATCAAAATTTTCATGAAATAAATCCTAGTTTAGCCAAAAATCTAGTCTGTACATTATACCAGTATGGTTATTCCACTGAACAGTATATATCTATTATAAATAAATGTTTAAATATTTTAATGAGCCAACCAAAATGTCATCTAACAATATCTGATACCGAAGCTATTTTATCAAAAATGATAAACAAGTATTTATTAGTCTCGGAAATATTTTATAACGAGTTGTTTATAAATCACACAATCGATCAAATATTAAAAAAGCAAACGTCATTTGAAGCATTATCATTTATTGTCAAAAAAATTAACAAAGTGGTAAAAACAGAACTCTTAAATTATATACTTACTTTATGAGTAGAAATAATAGTTTATATTTTTTTCAGGGATTTGTTCATTTAAAGCTTCTTGATCATTTAACAAACCTTCTAATTAGTGAACCCGAAAGTCTTAACAATTGCAAGTTTGGGACTTTATTTTCATACATTGGAAGTTGTTCCATTGCAAACTATATTCCTCCAGGGTTTCACGTGTTAAAACCTTTTATTCTAAAACGACTAATCATGCAAAAGGTAATAAATGGTATTATATGGATCAATATTAGTACGACTATAATAAGGTTTAATAGTTTAGATAGTAGGTGCAATTAGTAAAAGTTAAATGGCGCTAAATCAAAATAAGATAGTAGGAGTTTTTGGCTCCCTGTAATTATTTTTCGTAGACATTTGGCTTTATAAAATTATTTTTCTGAAAAAGTATATACAAATGTGACATCTATGGGAAAAGATACCTTATATTCCCGGAACAAATTGTTCAGGAGAACAAAAACTAACTAAATTATTAAGATTTACCACTTGAAAACTTCATAACTTTTGAACGGATCAAGATTCATTGTGGAGGCACCATTGTAATCAGCGACTAATGAACTATAACAAAATGCAATAACCCTGATTTTGAAAAATGGAAGATAAGGTTCCTTTTTCCAATGGATATTCGCAAATAAATTATTTATTTTCCTAATAACAATAATCCATTCTTAGAATACCACAAATATGTATTCTGTAAGGACTGATAACAAATCTATGTATTTTTATTAAAGCCTTCCAAATGTGTTATGCTATTGTATAGTAACTTTTTTTATTACAAAAATAATTAAATAAATTAACACCACTATACTCTATTTCTTATAAGAGCTGTAGTGTGCAGAATCCAAAATGCATTACTCTCGGATGCGCCTGCACAGAAAGAAGTAACGCGGTTTAGTTTTTACGCAGTACTGCTCTTACATAGAATACAGTATATCAATTAAAATAGACTTATTTTGGTGACACTATACAACAATATGTTGGCAAAACAATGTTCCACTACGTTTTTGTGATATTTTTACTGTGTTCTAACTTTTGTGTTATTTTGGAATCGAATGTAAGACTAAGTAGATATTGTTTTGCTGAATTTTGTATATTATTGGATAGATTCAAATATCCAATTAACAACTTATTAATAACAACAAACAACCTAATAAATTTTCTTGTTCATAAATTTACAAAGTAACTCTACTAATGTATGTTTTGAATTATGACTCATATGAAATACATTTCTTGAAAGAATCTTGGAATCTATGTTGTACCCGGGTTTCATTATTTGTAGAAGTATGCCTTTTCCTTTAATATGTAAGAGATAAAACTTAATTATATTTAAGCAAGGTCAATTTTCAATCATTTTGTTTATTCATAAACAAGTCACCAATAAAATAAAAATATGTATACATCTTTAAATTTATTTTCTGTTTTATACGTATGAAAAATTCACGGTCATTAAACATTTTTCAACATTTAGAAAATGGTTCTGAGTTAAGTTATAAAGAATTTGTAAAATGGGAATAACTTTACATAACTTTGTTCATTTATTGTTTAGATACTTATAAAATTGACTTGTATTAGTTTATTTCTATTTATTAGTATTACCTATTTATATTATGACTTATAAAAATGAGTAAAAAGTTAATTTATATAAAGTTTAATTATTATAAAATTACTATGAAAAATGACATTAGACTTCTTCACATTGAACCACAAAAAATAACGTGACTGGAGGTTTAATACTAATTATAGGAGGTAGTGCGTCAATCAAAATTTGTTTTGAATACTGTATAAAATTTTATTTTTAATTGTAAATAGGACATATTGGAGTTGCCTTGGTTAAAACTGACTCTAAACTTAGCAGTTTTGGATTGCTGGTCAGAAGAACTTCTTGAGAAAATTTTTTCTAGATCGTTTCTTCAAGCATTTTTAAAGCGAGGTTATTTTAACTATAAACTAGTTGTATTTATTGTACCTATAAATAATTATTCTTTTAAAAATGATTGTGATTTTCCAGATGACAATCAACAAGACTATAATACTCTACTTCAACTCTACCAAGCCGTATTGACATTATACCCAGGAGGTTACCAAGGGTTATTACCGCCTAATGATATTTTGGAAAAAGCCATTAAGGTTTTTCATCCGAAACTTGAAGAATACCCTTTAAAAACAGCATTAGAACATGGGTTAGGTGGTAAAGATTATGTGATTACACCTATTCGAAGTAAATTAGGACATTTCATAGGTAACAATATTGGTTGATCGAGTGCAATATTATTTAACACTTAGATGACGTAAAATATGTTTGACAATAGATCATGTAGTAGTTATGAGACCTGGTGGTTACTCAGTTGCAATTAAAAAAGAAATCAAGGATAATACATCTGATATATTATTAGAAGACGTTCTCAACATTGGTGGCGATAATATGGTGTGAGTGTTTAATGTTTTATTTATACAATTTGCAAGTTTTACAGGTACTATATTTTATTGTTATTTCTTTTTCAGTCTATGTGTATTACTTAACAGACCTACGAATTTTGTATCAAATATTGAACGCCTGAAGGGTCCAAATGCTCTAAGAATGAAAACCATAGAAGCTTTGGGTGTAACAGTAGTACCCGTGTCTGAAATCTATTGGAACAGTCTAATTGGTTACGAAAAGATACCATACATCATGCAAGAATTAAAGTCCAAATCCAATTTGACTGAAAACCATTTAACTAGCTAGATTTTCTTTTTTAATTTGTTAGTTATAACTTATACACTATATTAATACTTGTAGGGTGTAATTATATATGTATAATAAAATTTGATTATCGAATAAAGTATACGGCGATGTCAGAAAAATCTTATTAACTTAACAAAGGAACATCCAAAAAAACTATGTTGTTCGCAAATTATAGACACTTGATTTCAGAATGCCTAACATTCATATCTAGAAGTGGATCGAAGTCTTATGTAAATTCATATATATGTAAACAAAATTATAGGACTAATCCAGTCAGATTTTTGGGAAATTCTTCAATTTCATCACATTAATTTATTTTATTAAATAATTGATAATGTGTAGGATAATGCTTAAACTGCTACACCGATTCTATTAGTTATTTTTTCAATTTCGATTGATTAACTGTTAAAATATTTTTACAAAATAAGATCTTAAATTTACTCCACATTGTTCAATTACAAAACGTGTGAACTTCCTGAATAATAATTTTTTATCTAAAATTTATGACAGCGCTATTTTGCCATCGTCAGTGACACAATTATGTACTGTGGGCATAGGCTCAAATAAGCTTAGGCCTCACCAAAAAAATTCTAGTCTTAATAAAAAATCTAAATAATACAAAAATAGTAATTTGTTTAATACTGTTTTTTCTAATTAAATTAGCATTAATTTCGATATTGTGCAGATCACAAAATAGTATCCGAGTACCTAAATATAATTACTTTTAATTTTTTGTAATATTTTCGGTGAATAATCAGCGATTTTTTGGGAACGGTGACAGTCTAACCACCGGCTTATAAATTGTTGAGAAACCGTCCCCTTGCGGAAGGAATTGTTAAATGAAAAATAATTGGCGGATTTATAGGTCAGCTATTTTTTTTTCTGACATTTGATCTGATTATTTTGTAAATATCGTCTGGATCTTTTCGTTCGCGAATCACACATCTCTTGTTGAAGTATGCATTATGTCTCAATATTAACTCAATGACACCTATGGGTGCTGGCCATTTTTTTGCAACTTTTTCCAGTCAAGTACGATGATATTTTTGTATTTATCACTGGTCTACACTGGTTTTAAATATAAGTATATGTAGTATTCTCATTTGATCATTGCCCATTGGTCCACGTATTAACTTACACCCTCGTTGGATTAATTCCATTGGGTAGCTAGCGAACCCTCCTCCACATGGAAGAAAAAAGTTTCACCCCTCTGCATTTAGTCGATGTCGAAATCCTTTGTTGGGCGTCATTTCCCTTTGTTCGAAGTTCGTATAGTTTACACTTTGCATTGGGCTTATCTTTTTGGAAAGTTGCCAATTGGAAAACATATCGTTGCACGGTACACAACGCGGTATACAGCATTATTGAATCGACATAAATTAACGACCGAATATTACATAGTACAGTGATCAGTGCCATAAGTTACCAGTCAATATGTTCTCATTAGCTCAACTTTCGTACTTCACGTGCTCAGAAAAAGAACAAGAGTACTTCGACAGTTTCACAGCATCGAATTTCAATTTTAAACTTTGTTGCCGGCTCGTGATGGATTATATGACAGAAAAATCAGACGAATTGGACGAAATCCACGGTATGATTTTTGTCATAAAAGATCCTCACGAGAAGTGCCTTGATTACATCAAAAAGAATGTGCAAAAACATAGCTATTCCTATAGTCCTATATTAGGATTACCACACTCATCGAATCCACCATGGCTGTTGAAATTATTCAAACATGCAAAGAAAACGGTGAACCAATAAAGTAGGTATAGTGAATAGTGATATCGAATCGGTGTTAATTACTTAAAATATTTTTAACTAGGCAGTTGTAATATTTGTTTTATGTTTTCATACAAAGAATGGGTTATATTATGGACAGGACAGACAGTAGGTTTACATCATTTGTGGGTCCAAGTTACGACCCGGGGTATATACTTTTGTAACCAATTAAATGTATTATCAAACTTTTTATTTTTTTACTTTGATTAATTCAGTTGAAAATTCTAGTCAGTATTGGCAATGATGAATGAAAAAATGAACAAATATTGGTTTTACAATTATTATAACTTGATTTGTTATAATAATCAGAAATAGTACATGATAAGATAAAATCATAAGTTAAAGAAATTCATCCTCTGTGCAAGTTGTCCCCTTTTTCAAATGTATGAAACAATCAAAATACTCTTGAGGGGGATATATAAGACGTTGAAACTTTTCCTATTTTTTTTGTGAAGTTTTGGACCTGATGTATGACTGAAGGTGGTGTGTATGTGTACCTTCTGTTATAATGTATAAAAATAAAAATAACAAGTTAGTTTTTTTATAATTGAGGTAAAATTAAAAACCAACAACTTATTTTCTTGACATTTATTATTTCTATAATCATCAAATTCGCATACAAGCGTTTTTTCAAAGTAAGTTTGTTACTTTTAGATTCTATCATTACTACAATCACTATGCCAAGTCCAATTGCCTTTATTAAAAATTATATTGAGTTTGTCATTTTGTTGATCAAATTTACCAATTATTTTCTCAACAGGAGGATATACATTAGAATTGTAAAATATAGATCCATAAAAAAGGGGGTGGGTAACCCAGTTTATCTCTACTGTAAGTCTCCAAAAGGACTTTTTTAATAGCACTACCCGTAGAAAAAGTCTGCCACGCCTACAACAAAAATATGTAATTCTGAATTATGTGTTTTTATATATAATTTATACATATATGTTTACCTTAAATTGTTTGTATTTTTATTTAAATAGAATAAATCTTTATTGATGACTTAAAATATTTTCTGATTGCAGTGTTTGTTTGGAAGAAAAATCCATCTACAGCTCTATAACCTCAACTCGATTTTAGATAACTAATTAGATGTTTTATTATAACTGATAGATTCTGTGCTCTGTGTTCTTATTTATATCAAGTGTGTTAACTCTTCCACCTCTTTGTCTCTGCTCCATGGTTCAAAGAATCATAATAGGAAAGCATTAATTTAAAAAAAATGTAGAATGTAGCTACTGTAGTTCATATATTTAACTCTTTTTAGCTTTGAATTTTGCCTATTTGTTTAAAACACTTAAAACCAATTTTTTTATTTATAAGAGCTATTTATAAAATTAGTCTCCAAATTGATATTAAAAGTAATAGATCATAGTATAAATGTTACGCTAACATATTCGTTTTTTTGTTCTTGTGAATATTTTAATGAACTTAAATAGTAAAACATAGATAGAAGTGTTTATCTAGTTATATACCACAAAATTTGGATTACTAATAGTCTTATTTAATTCAAATTTTCAATTTAATAAATGTTAAACACATTTTTGATACCTATTGAAAAAAAATGTATTATATAAAAATTACTTATACTCTAGTACTTATTATATTTCTTTTTATAACTGTTAAAATATAGTTAATTTAATCAAAAATTAAATTTGTTCGCATTTTTTGTCCATTTAATAAAACTATGATAAAAACAATGTATGTTTTATTTATTTATAAAACATGGTTAGTCTCATGCGAGAGTGATGCTAACATAATGCCGGTGCTGTGGAGTTTGACCGATCATAATACCCACAAATAGACGTTTACATTTTTTTTTTTTTTTGTGTAATATTATATTAATAAGAGGTACATTTAGTTTTAAACAATCTATAATTATAAAAACAAGTTGTTTCGAGTATAAGTTTAATGTTAGCAAGTTTATATATTATGTTATAATATTATACCTTTTTATTAATTTTAATGTTGCTTACGATGTGTGGGTAACATCCGCAACCAACTATTAAGGATAGGAGATCAACCCTATATCCACCTTAAAACTAAAAATATAATATCATGCACATTATTGTCATAAATGATTTTTTTTGGTATTAAATACTTGTACCATCGACAGATCCGCATCAAAGTATTTATTGATGCGATTTTGTCGCTTTCACTTATAATAATTTCTAAAAACATGTTACCTTCATGATCTCAATATGGTATGTCCCTACTATGCTTCGACTCCATGTACTGGACTTTTTTTTAGTAAATAGCCATTTTACTGCAATAATAATCAGTTATAACTCTTGAGGTGACATTTGTCGGCAAGAATAAGCTACTGGATGTAAAATCCCATCATCTCCTTTTTGCATAATAATACAGGCAACACCAACTTTAGATGCATCAAAATGAGCTAGTTTTAGTAGGATCATAAATGCACAAGTTTGGATAATGGATTAAAGTATCTTTTAACTTATTAAACGTATCTGCTTTCAAAGACAAAGTATACAGTTTTCAATAGTCAAATTAGGTATTTAATTAAAAATACATAATAGTTTTAAACAAATATGATAAGTAGTTTATCTATGTACGTCTTTATAACTTAATAATAATGAACTAAATCAAAAGCTTATCCAATTATTTTCTTCTACATTATTTTAACATAGTTTACTTGGAAAATATAAAAAGAAATTAATTTCTATAAAAAAGAATATTGTTATAATAACTTTAAAAAACACAATTCACTTAGTTTATCCACTTACAAATTAAAGTAAAACATTATTAGGTTGAACACTAATTATAGATTAAGTATTTGGAACTAATTAAATATAATAATTAAAAGTAGCAAACATTATCATTATTTATAAATATAATATCATCATAATTAAATAATGTTTGAAATTTCAAAAATAGAAATATTAAGTTATTTTAAGATTAAAATTTTAATTATTAATAATGGGAATTCTCAAAAACCATTTTAAGTTTAAAAATTATAATAACAGACCCCTTTTTAAAAATTGTTTAACTATATTGAGTACCAATAAATTGGTAAAATAGTTTTATATTCAATAACTTTTAAAACACTGCTTATTAGAGAACTTGATAAATACAAATTATAAAATACTAAAACTATAAATTATAACAAATAAAATAATTATTTAATTGGCGTTCAACATATTTTAGTTACAAAATTTTCGGAAACTATTTATAATTATATTTTATAATGCACACAGAAACATAATTCAATTTTCCTCTACTCCTCTTTTAAGCACTTTCCTACACTTTAAAATATGCAATTGAATATATAAGAGAAAAAATGTATTTATATATATATATATATCTTAGCACAATGTTTCTGATCAATCTAATATTATTCATTAATAATGGCTTTATATTCTGTATTAAGATATACCTAAATGAAAAATCCATCCCACGCTCTTTATCCAATCATTATTGAATTCAAATTAGATACAATCAATAGTAGAATTAACTCTTATAACTACAAGAGCGTCTGCCTAGTGATGGTTGCACTTCTGCTTGCTGTGCAACTATTGCATCCGAAGTTAATCTTGGTCTTGTTTTAGTCTTCAATTTATTTGTTTCGTTTTGTTTGTTAATTGAACGTTTAGGCTTTACATCTGCTGTGGATGACTGTTTTTCTACAGTTTTTATTTCTGGTAAAATAGGATCAGCATTCTGAAGCTTAACAATTTGCTTATCAACTCCAGATTTAGATTTAAGATCTCCTGATCTCAGGTTCGATTTTCTATTTGTCACATCGAGAGTTACAGATTGGTTTCCAATGTTACTTATCAAGTTTTCTGGAGTCACTGATCTGGAAGAACTATCCGATACATTAGCGTATGTGGTAGTATTTTTATTGTTGTTGTGTTGTTTACTAGTATCAGAACTAAAACTAGATTCTGACACATTACGGTTTTTCCTCTTTCTTCCTCTATTACTAGGAGTTCTATCTTCAACCTCAGTTTCCTTTGATTGATTTATTGGTTTTATGCTAAGAACGTTTGGATCTTTTGGCTTGGTAACTTCTGGTTTGACACTTAAGCGTAATTTTTTCTTAATAGTAGTATCTTCTTCTTCTGGTTCTTTATCATCAGATTTATCATTAGTGCGTAAAGATCTTCTTGTACTGGGCCCAGCTTCTTCATGATCAATTTCAATGGGTTTAACTACTGGGATTTCTGGCATAGCTGGAGTGGATTCCCCAAGACCATCTTTAGAATCGACTGAAGATATAGAATCAGACTTTGATCTAATTTTACCAGCACCACGAAAAGATTTTCTTTTTTTCATTTCTTCTTTTTTTGCAAACAACTGTGCCAACTCTTGTTGAGCTCTCAATCCTTTAAATACATTTTTATTAATACAATTATTTATTAACATTATTTTAAATAAACATACTTGTTTGATCTTCATGTTGCCTCCTAAAAGTTTCCCCTTCTTCAATTATGAATTGACCATATTCTTGATCTGCCAAGTCAAAATCATCTGGAGTAGCAGAAAAGGGTATCCCTTCAATTTTATCCTAAAATAAAAAATAAAAACTATAGGACATTTAATAAACTTTTTCTGTATTTTATTACAGCTTCTTGCATATCCCATTTTGAATGTAAGTATTTCCATATACTCTCAGATGGTATGTTCAATTTTAATTCTTTACTAATTTTTTCTCTGATAAACATCATGCTCAAATGTTTATTAATTCCTAAAATAAAATAAAATTTATTAATTAGGTACGTGTAATATAAATACATTATTTTAGGATCTTGATTAAAAAGTACATGTGAAACATCGTTAAGCACAATACTTTTTACTGTGTTACACAGCATAACATTAAATCTACCCCCTTTTGAAATATATGAGACAGAAACCTTCAGTGCTAACTTCACTTTTTTGCATATCCTTCTCCAATATTTTCTATATTGCTAAATATTGTCCTTTTTTTAGTTATAATAGTCATGTTAATCGCATTTCAAGCTTCTACGATAATCTAGATTTGAGAAGTTTGAGTCAAAAACTAAAGAAAGTACAAAATAGAGACAGGTTTAAACCAGTACAGTCCAAACCAAAGACAGTATAAACCAGCTCAGTAAGAAAGTATTTATATTATACGAAGTGAGTAGTAGTAGTAGCAGTAAGTGAGGGTGGTCACAGATAAAAATACAAATATTGATAAAAGCATTATACCTAATGATAATAATGTGCTTAAATATTTTTAGTATAAGAGTGGATATGGTTAGGGTTTTAGTAACCATCTCGTGATGGCAGGGTTGGCCCTAAATGGCCAGTTAAGCTCGCATGATAATGATGACAATTAGGGTTGATTGTCTGTCTATAAAAATATATTGCTATACCTATATTTATCCATACACCAAAGTTAACAATATAATGAAAATATTTTCATTGACTGTTAAATTCACTCACACAAAGCAACCAGAAAAATAACAACGATCAAAGTATAATTTTTCCTTTTTTTTAGTTTTTCCTTAATAAAAAAAAAGGTTGACTACAGAGTTTTAGGAAAATTGCACTTAGTTCATTCTAGATCTACCTTCAGCCTAATTTTCAGACCTAAATTTCTAAAACTTTGCTTGAAAAAGTGAAAGAAAGAAAAAATTTCTGTCTTTTCTAAGTGAAGGATGATATTTTTTTGTTTGTCAATTTTTATCGGTAGTACTATGTTTAAAAAATATTTCATACATATTTGGAACTAATTAAACTACTTAAAGTTTTAAGCATAGTTATTTAAAGTTGTAAAATTATGTACATATTTTATGTTTTCCTCGATTTTGAAGGGGTGACTTTTTTTATTTTTTGGCCCAATTGCGTAGCTTTTGTACTCAATACTATAACAAATCCGTTCAGCAGTTTAAAGAATAAAAACACACATCATTGTAAACACAATACAAGACTTTTTAAATAACAACACTTTTTAGCTCTGCATCGAAGATAAAATGAAAAATACTTTTTTTTAAATAAATTACTCAACTAGCCATGAATTTCTTAATATTATCTTAACAAATTTGACAGCAATCCTTCCCTGATACTTCCCAAAAACATAATTTTCAAAAGGACGATCATTGCTTCTCTGGATTTTTTGGTATAAATGCACTTTACTGGGCACCATTGGATTTTGAAATTTTTTTTTTGTTACCTTGTAGTATTTTTACATTGATTAGGAACCTGAAGACAGGAATCTTCTAGTTCAAAAGTAATGACTACTGGAACGGAACAAAATATTATTGTGCAAGACTCCCGCGCCTCTTGTGTCACCATCCAGTTGTAGCGAACTACGTGATTAAAAATTATAGCAATTTGTTTGATAATAATATATATTCATTTTCAATTGTTTTATCACAATACATTATTTTCTGTATCTATCACAATTTTATGTCTACTTCTAAAATTTTTTTATAGTTATTTTGAAGGGTTAACCGGAAGTCACGATGCAGGCGTAGGGAGTCCTTTAATATAGTATACATACTCCTACGCTTACATGTTCCTATAACTCAACAGTTACACTACGACTGGATTGCGAATAGCTGGTCTCACCAATGATAATTCATAAAGTTCTAGTAACTATAACTTCTAAACTAGAGAAGTCAGCATATTCCTGACTTCAGATTCATAACCAGAGTAAATAAATACTGAAAGATATAAAAAAAAAGTATACAAAAATAAGGTTGCCTGTAAAGTGTTTTTGTTCTCATTTTTCAATATGTCCAAAGCAACACTGAACCTCTAATGTAACTGGCCAATAACATTGGCAATACCAATTTACTATTATGGGACCCTTATTTCTTACCGGCCGGTTTCAAATTGATCATGTTAAGCAACAGACTTAGTTCTCGTGTTAGATTCCAATGGAACGTCTCTGGGTCGACTTCTGCATAGTCTTCGCCACTGTCATAGAATTCTGAATCAGTTCGCGAAGCAGAAGTGGTTAGCAGCACATTTTCTTCTCCCGACATAATGGCCGTTCGAAACGCAACAACGAGACAAAACCGAATGGGGATATAGTCCGTAGTTAATTAAGTTAAAGTTAAGAAACGGTAATTGAAATGCAAAGGAAACTACCACAACACACTAGACAGAACGCTTGCACACGCAAGTCGTACAAATGAGGGTACTGGGTAAAGCAAAATGCCAATGCGGAATTGTCCGTAAAAACGATTAATAATACAGCAAATCTTGAGCCTATATTAAATGGTCTACTGTGTGCTGTGTAGTATTATATACTACCGACTACATACAAATTATTACAATGACTGGACTCTAGAGCTGGAGGTAAACACTAAACAAGTAAACAACAACAACCGCTATCAATCGACCAATATTATTTTCTTTTCCAAGTAGACATTATGGCGCCAGTTAAATTAGTGTTTTAAATTGATGATCACTCAATTTTAGCTGTTTAATTTTCAATAATCACGTAGTCTACGAGTGAGTTCTATTAAATACAAAACAATAGTCAACGTCCAAGCTAATATTTAAAAAAATATATATTAAATACATCTATTATTTCCCAGTTTGCTTTTGTCGTAATCGTTCACCCTGATAACAGCTTGTCGACGATAAATATTTACGGCCGATGTAGGTACTTTGCCTCCGAAGCCCCACTGAATTGAATTTTTTGTCTCCCTAATTTATTATTCTAAGCAATAATAAAGTGATAAAATCATATTATTACAATGTACATAATTTTGAAATTATGATAACGAATGTAGTGGCGTGTTTAAAATATTGTAAGAGAGGGTGTATACAATCAATTATTTATAGCAGATCTAATACTCGAATACGATTACAAATTACATCTACATTCCAACTTTATTTGGAGCAAAATCAAAATATACACATTATATAGGATTTTTTTGTTGATCCCGAATATGGACTCGGAATTCCAACATCTAGCAACTCATTTTTTTTTCAATTTACCTTGAACATTTTAAACAACGTACAAAATAACATAAATAAAAATGTATTTCTAATTTTTTTTTTGCGAAATAAATTTTAGACAATCATTCAAAATTGCAAAATGTGCTGGATAGTTTCTAATAAATATATTATATTCAAACATTATTTTAAAGTAAGTTACATTATAAATCTCTCCAAATTAAACTTATCTACAGCGTAATTTCTTATTGTTTGCCTCCTATAACTTAAAAATTAAACAAATTCCCCATGTTTACTCTCAAGTGTCTATTCACATCTGTGCTCTCTCGTAGACCAGAGTTCAAATGCAAACCTTTTTTCCAAAAACTACTTTATGGAGCCACAGATTTTCCTATCCATCTTGCGGAAATTAAATGCATGTCCGGCCCATTGTATTCTTATACCTTTAATAAATTGTACAATATCTTTCTTGTTTAATAAGTTTTCCAACTGTGCATTCGTTCTCAATTCCCATTGTTGTGTTTCGGTATTAAATACTGGACCATGTATTTTCCTTACAAATCTTCTTAGTTTCTCTTCGTCACCTTTAGTTGTGGACCACGTAGCCAGCCCGTTATATAATAATGAATAAGTGAATAACGTTGGTTATAATTGTTTAGAATACATTTTATTACAGATTTCCATTTAGTTAACTACCGTAGGATTTTTGGTACAATAAAGAATTACAATAATTTGGTGATTACTGAACGGTGGTCATGTAGCATTAAGTGTATAACATGCAAGTTCTAGGGTTTTAAACATGTTAATAGAAGTTATATTAGAAAAGAAAATATCAAGTAATAATCATTTTTTTTTTTTTTGTAAATTTAATATTAAAACAATTTGTAAACTTAATTCTAGAAAAAAATAATTTGAAATGCACGTTGATATGATATGTGAATAATTTAAATAAAATATTTTATAAAGTATACATAACATTTCGATAGGCTGTGAACAAATGTCAGTATTTACTTATTATAATTAATTCAACAAAATTGGTAATTTTAAGTAAGAAATATGGTTTGTTTCCCATTATTATTTTTTGGTAAGAATTTGTTCATAATTATTCTAGTCAGTCCATTCTGTTACGTTACATCCAATATAATTTGTATTTGCCTTAGCTTGATTCAGTACTTTCTTCCAATAACTGTTTGCTAACATGTTCGTTGGATTTCCAATAATAATTAAGAGAGCTTTAGCTCTTGATAAAGAAACATTGATACGTTCCTTTGATCCGACAAAACCAAGACCAAATTTGTCGTCCTTCTCACTTCCAATTTTGGATTTACTTCTGACTATGGATATAATTATAACCATTCTCTCTTGACCTTGGAACATTTCAACAGTGCCAACCTTAGGCAATGTGATTTCTGGATGATACGTTCTTAATAATTCGTTGATCTTCCACACCTATATACAAAAATTAAATTAATTAAAAGTTGAATTAAAACTGTATGATAAAAAAAACTATTTTGCTCATAATAAATCACTTATATATTGAAAAATTAATTTTTTTTTAAAAGCGTGTTTTGAAATTCAAAAATTTACTTGCATAAAACTAATTACTGAGTACTTAATAATTTAAAAGAAGTGATCTGGAATTAGTTCAAACCAATGAATTTTTGACTATCTTTAGTATTCGCTTTAGAAAATTACTGGAGAAACGAGTCAAATAGGCATTAACTCTTAGCCCCGTTTTAAAGTAAATAAAATTATGATATCTATAAAATATTTAATTTAATTTAATTACACTGGTCTGTAAAAAAAATTGTTTAAGCTTTTAAAATTGTTTTTGTTTTTTTTCACCCTTGATATTTTTATCAATTACCTGAGCACTATATGGAGTGATAATACCAATATCTTCTCCCGATATGCCTGCTTTTAGTAATTTGGTAGTATATAACAAGACTTGAAAAGCTTCATGAGGGTTAAACCATGATGGACTAGAGGGCTCCTGAAAATCTTCACCTTTAATTCCATGCACAATAACAGGCCCTTTACAATTAATATTCCAGTGAGCGTTTTCATTTACACTATTAACCATTATTTTTTCTGGTACGTTATCGCTTAATTTCTGTTTCAAACAAGTATATTGATTATTTTTAAAAAATAGTACAAAATAATTTTAAGTAAATATATATTTTTTACTTACATTTGCTGTAAGCAACGAGTCATAAAACAATTTATTAAAAACATCAACAATTTCTGGTAATGAACGATAATTACGAATCAAGTGAGTTATAACTCTAGGATTGTAACCATTATTATGAGGAAAAAGATCTACATCTCTTTTATATGACGGATAATGAATAAAACGGGCTAACATAGATTGTCCTAGACCAGATCTCTTTGCTAATGTTGATAAAACAACAGGTCCCAACTGTTTAGGATCACCAGCCATAATAACTTGTCCATCTCGTAAAGTATCTAAAAATGCTTTAAACCCATAAAATTAAAGAGAGAAATAAAAAAAACAATACCAAAAATGGACACTTACAAATAGGTAATAATATTTCGGGTTCAGTCATTTGACCAGCTTCGTCAACAAATATATGAGTAAATGTTCCACTTGGAATTCCCATCATGTATAGCATCGAAGCTGATCCTGCAGTAGTAATTATTAATTTCAATTTGAGAACATCATTTCTATTAATAGTTTTAACTTCTGAAAAAAGGAGATATAATGTGTAATTATTGTTGTATATTGTAACACATTTAACAATTAATTTACCTGATGAACTATTATAATTGACTGCATTCTCAGTATCAGGCAAAAAACAATATTTTTCTATTTCTTCAGTGTAATTGGAAGTTGAAAAATAATTATAACCAACTAAACGCTTCATTATATTTGTATCAAACAATCCAGTTTCCACGAGTTTAATTAGCAATAAGTCAGCTGCAGAATTTGTTGGAGCACATACCAATAATCTAAAATGATATATAATGGTTAGGTTAGATTATAATACAAAATAAAACATTTTGTTGATGTTACATCTTTAAGTTAAGCATACTTGCTTTTGTGGACTTCTTTGTAAACTTGAATTATAGCTTCTGTTAATGTTATGGTTTTTCCTGTACCAGGTGGTCCGAATATGACATATGGCATTGGTCTGCTTTCGCCTTTCAGTATGTTTATGACAGCACATTTTTGTTCGAGATTTAGTTTTTGGTTAAACCACTTAATTTCCTGAATAACCTTAGGTTGCGGTAACATTTTATTTTTGTTTTGATTATTATCATCGTCGTTTCCTTGCTCATTTTCTTGTTCTTCATCATTTTCACATTTCATTATTATTTTAGGTGGCTGATATTCCATGCTTTCTTTGTAAGGAAATAAAAATTCCTCGCCTAAACTTTTTTTTTTCCATACAGCTTCGATGATTTCATGTTGTCTTCGATATAGTGTTCTTGAAAGGAAAAATGTCACGCTGAAGTCCCAGTTACCACATTTATTATGAAATTCTGGATCAAATTTTAACAATAATGAGTCAGCAGTAACTTTGTGTATAATACCTTCATATCGTCCAATTTCACCTACAAAACCAAAATAAATATATAATCCAAAATTTTCATATATTATGAATGTTTTAAGCATATTTTTTTTTACAAAAAAAAAAAAAAATCAGCACAATTCATAAATATAAAATACATCATCCACTAAGCATAAAATTAAAAATATTTATGATGGAAAAATGGCAAACGAGGAAATCATTTTAATAAACAAAGAAGTTTTAGACAGTAAGAGATGAGGAAACACAGGTTAAAAATTCTAAAAAGATAGCTCAGTGGTCAGAGTAGCCACTTATCTGGGTTTGATTACCTGTTAAGTGTGCAATTGTTTATTGGTTTTTCGCATTTCTAATAGTCAGGAGTAAGATTGTAAGCTGGTGTCCACTGGTGGGAGATTTCTGTAGGCGCACATTTATTATGTTCCTTCTTTAAGGGTCGAAGAGGATAACCAAGTCGAACATTCTAGAGGACTACGTGTGAAATTATGTTGCCTAGTAGATGGAGTGGGCCACAAAAGAACGATCTGATCAGAGAAGTCGGATGGCCGAACGTTAGTAATAGTTTAACAGGTATATGTATATTTTAAATGGTATATTTATGTTGGAATTTTTCAAAATGCTACCAACATTTTTAGTTAGTTTTAGTTGTTAAAAAAAAAGCCTTATATGATTCACTACTTTATATTAACCCGTGCCCGTAAGGTGGTGATGTTTTCCATTTAAATAACAAATTAACAGATTTAATAACTAATCATCTCTGTTGGATGTGGATATAATTTTTTCATTATTTTTATCATAGCAGAGTATATTGGTACATTTCAATTATAGGAATCAATAATTGTGACAACAAGAAAACGATAATTCTACTTACATGTTACGTAAAACAAATTTATGTGAAAAAACTTGAAACTGACCTTTAAAAACTCAATAGTTTCACCCTGTGGATGAATAAAGTGGCCAACTAATTTATAATTGGATTTGTTGTTTAAAGTATGTATCATACATAAGCCACTTCCATTAGCTCTATACTTAAACATTTTTTTTTTGCATCTTTTGAAAATATTTTAAAAGTTTCAATACTCACATATAATTTAAATGGAAAAATTCACAATCTAACTAGCATGGGTAAATATTGAGATGTACCAGTAAAACTTACAGGGCATTTTATTTTTACAAACTAGGATAGTTTGAAACCTTGAGTATTAAATTTTGAAAAAGTACAAAACAAGAGACACCCTTATATTTATAAATATATATTGTTTATGACTTTATTTTAATAACTAGAATAATAATTACTTAATTACCTAATAACTTAGTACAGTTTGGAGGGTCTGTTACTGCAACAAAATCTCCACACACTAATGAAGGTCGTTGTTCTGCGAGATCAGGTATTTTCAATGATAAATATTCACCACATTGTTCAAAATGAATTCTCTCCTTTGCATACTTTTGTAGTGCTATAGTAATCTAAAATGAAATAAATAATTAAAAAATAATTTGTAAGTGATTATATAAATAAAAAAATTCAATATACTTCAATTTCTTCCATGAATAAAAGTATGTGAAATTTTTGTTTATAATTTTGGTAGCACAGCGACTCAAAAGCAGCAGGATATAGGTCCTGCACTTTCTCTTTGATTTCGTGTATTTGGCTAAAAAAATAATTTTATAACTTTGAATTAGACGTGTGCAAAATAATGGACGAGCCTATGTTGATTTTAAAAGTTTTAACTTATTATTTTTATTGAACTACATGATTCATGTCTAAAATTATTATTAACTGAAACATATTAAGTTTACTTTATATAAGGCAGCACGTATTTTTTACGTCTTAGAGTTTTAATTTTTTTGTTTTATAATACTGTAATCAACAATATAATAAATATAGTTGTCTCACACCTTTTGACATAGCAAACTATAAATTTACTCTATTTATAGTCTAGTGTAGTTCCCCTTTCTTTGTTGATAAAACAGGGGGGGTTGGCTAATCTACAGATTTTCGAAAAATAAATTGGCTTTCCTCCTATTCAGCTCTAGATCAATGATAAAAAAAAATGTATAAATATCATTATTTATTATCTTACAAATTAGACTTTCCATCATCTGTCCAAAAACATTTCATCAATTCAGGACTGATGTTCCATTGCCCAATTTTAACTCTATTAAATTGTGATTTTTTCCCTGGACGAATCCCTGGAACGAATGTCTCATTTTGAATGTCAAGTAAAGCCCTGAATTAAAATAAAATATGTTAACTATTTACAGTTTTAAAAAGGCAATTGTACATACTTCATATCAACTTGGTGTCTTGTAAAACCTTTGGTATCTAATGGAATAATTATTCTTGAGTCCACTACTTCGATTTGTATGCCTACTTTATATATAATGTCTTTAAAAACAAATTCTACTTTTTCTGTTGATCTTCCTAGAAATCTGGATAAGAGTTAAAATGTAGATATATACATGTTAATATGTACTATTTAAGTAGAGGAAATAATTAAAAAGAGTAGAGTGATATTTCCTGACTCTGTCCATCTAGAATAGTGAATATTTAGACATATTTTTGTTCCAATGTCAAACTAATTCATACTGGTCATAGATCAGTATAAAAAAGAATCTGAAAACAGATTTGATTTTCTCAAAATCTTTACTAGGGGATAACTTTTCTACTTTTTAAAATTTTTTATTTTAAATTGTCCGCTCTTCAACTAAAAAATAAATATGTTAATAAAATATACACTAAGATAAAGAAAAATTGGAAAATTGTTCTTCTGAATAACTGAAGGTTTCATATTTCTTATTATCAATTCATATGTACAAAACGAAAATTTATTTAAACATCATACTGCGCTTTAGATGGGTAGAGACATGTAATATCACTGTCCAATCTTCTTTAATGCATTTGATCATTTTTTTCTTCAAGCACAACAGTCATACTCATTACTTATATTTTATTATAAATGCTGAATAACTTTTTAAAAAATTAATACTTTAATTATAACAGTATTATATTAGGTATAGAGTTGAATATATTTCTGTATGTACATACTTTATGAAACACTATTCTGACAATTGTTTAACAATAATTCAAAGAGTAAGTATAGTTTTTGTAAATTTGATTTTATAGCAATTTTGTACGTAAAAAACTACATTAATAAAAAATATAATTAGAAAACATAACTTTTTGTAAGTATTTTTTTTAGTAATTAGTAAAATATTATGAGTTTTGGTTTTTCTATTTTTTAGATATAAAACATAATTTAAAAAAAAATAGATAATAAAAGTAATCCAAGTTTATGATCTCATCTTGCACAATCCCAACTCACTTATGAATTTAAATAGTTTAAAAAATATGTAGTACTATACTAATATATGTAAGTAGCAATATAATAGAACTTACTTTCCTTCCAAGTTTATTTCAAAAATATATTGAGATTGAACATCAAGAATAATTGGTAACTTGGGTTTAGTAACAATTGATAACTGAGATTTGCTTCCAACTGTTGTGTAATAGTCAAGCACTTCTTGCTTTTCAACGTAACTGTTATTTCTAAATAATATCTAAGAAACTTGGTTATAATTTGATTAATTTTGTAAGATATCAAAACCAACCTGTACTGTTGATACTTGTTCAAAACCAATGATTTTTGGCATTTCCCCAATCACCTCAATTGTTACATTAGAATTTTCTTCTTCATCATCATTATTATTATTATTGTCTGTGTCATCATTTTCAACAGGAGGTTCTTCAGACTCTACATGAACTGATTTGTGAGCAGCCAGTCTAAAAGTAAAAATAAGATTATATAATTGTTTTTTTAAGTAAAATAAAGGTTATTACTTAACCTATTTGCTTGATTGTGGGATCCATTTTTCGATAAAACACAGCTAGCAACTTTCCATTCATCGTTTGAATTTTTTTTTCTATACATTGATACTCTGACATGGTTATTAACTTCAATATATGGGAAATTACGGATTTCTCTATCAGTTTTAGGCTGGTAATGATATATGTCATTGATTAAACATTTGTCAGTGTCCAATAGTTTTGTTACAATACCATTGACATATTTGATTTCTAATGTCGGATCCAAAATACAAGAAATCTAAACAAATATACAAAGGAGATTACATCTAGTTTGTTCTAGAAAATTATAGTAAAAACATGATGTAAATAAACCTTTGTAAAAACAATACTAACCCAAAAGTCGTTTTCCGATGATACGTCTTTTTCAAAAAATATATTGGACGGAAGCTCAACTATATCCGGTTTTCCTGTAATCCAGTTCCAGATTGCCCTTAAAAAATCCATAGTGATTTTAGGACAGTAAGGATCAGTATACAAAAGAATTAGAAACAAAACTGAATGTTAACAACAAATATTTAAACTCACAAAAAGCAATAAAAAAGTATTGTATAAGTAATAAGTACTTATTTAATATAGTATTACAACTACTTATTAGTCATACTACTGTAGACGATATAAAAAATAACGGACATTTACTCATCACATATATGGTGCCCGGTGCCGGTGGATAGGTTCGAACAACATCATGACTCAGCGCTGCAGCTGTCTGGTGTTCTTCAATGTCATTGGCCAGTATTTTATTGATTGTTTCGTTTGTAGGGGAAAAACAGCAGCTGTTAACCTAGAAACCTAAGGGACAATGACTAAGGGTAATTGATGTATACAGTGTACCGGCCACTATCGTCATTCCCTTTGAGTTGAGTGCGTGCATAGGTACTACCAACCTCGGTCGATAGAAATTATTAGGTACTCTATGATAGATTATAGAAATGGAAAATGCTTTTGTACTGGAGTAAAAAGTTAAAACGGCAACGAAGCCTCATCATATGGATAGCCGGGAAATGACCGTGGTTATTTACTTCGTAGGTTAGATAACCGCGGTAACAACGAATAGCCAATCGATTTTTCATTTATATTACCAATGTCTCTGAAGCGGGCAGTGGAATTTCGTTTTCATTAGAACGTCGAGCAAGTCAAGGCGCGTATAAGGATGTATTCCAAGTTATTTTGGACGCAAAATAATCTATAAAAAGAAAGAGCGCTAGTGAAGCTATTATTATCTACAATCTAGGAATTCGGGTTTGTATCAAAATGTATTATTATACCAACCATGTATACACTATAGTCTATACATATATATATATATATATATATGTAGAATGTTTTGTTACAAACATGGTTTTATTATGTGATTATTTACATTTTGTTTAACATTACATTTATGTATCAATTATTTTACAGAATTTTCAATAAATATTAAGAAGCAACAATATATTTTTTTTTTAATTCAACTATTAAAAATGAGCAAAAGAGGCTCAACGAGTAAAAAAACAAGCAAAGCACAAGCCAAGGCACAAACCAAGTCACCAACCAAGTCACCAACCAAGACACCAACCAAGAAACCAACCAAGACACCAACCAAGTCACCAACCAAGACACCAACCAAGACACCAACCAAGACACCAACCAAGTCACCAACCAAGACACCAACCAAGTCACCGACCAAGAAACAAAACAAAGCACCACCCAAGGCAGAACCAAAGGTAAATTACAACCCTAACTATATTAGTTTCGGTTTGTGATTAGTAATTCAAAGTTATAGGTATACTACTACACTACCTTTTACCCATATTATATAGTTAAATGCCTTATCTCAATTTCAGAGGGGATGGCTAGATATACTCAAAAAATCAAGTTTGAATTAGTAAATATATTAAATTAGTCATAATCAATAAATCTTACATAAGGTTTAGGCTTTAAATACAGTTTTAAGTGATTTAATATGTCTAATCCCCTAAGATTGCTTTAATGGTTAAGACATGCCGCTATTTTTTAAATAAATTCTGGATGCATATTTTACTTAAAATTAAATAAATACACTAATATTTTGAAAAACTTATTCTAAAACAACCTCAATATTTACAATTGATTATTACATTAATAACCTTAAACAATATTTTATTCGTCAAATACCTAATATACTACACTTTTTTTAAAAAACTATTAAAGTTATACAGTTACTTGATTTATATATTTTAAAGATTTTCATATTTTGTTTATTAATGGTAAAAATATTTTCAAAATTAACTATCAAATCAATAAATTTATGTATTTATTATTTAATATAACTATTGTTAAAGAGTAAAATGTATTTATAAATACACAAGTCTTTACTAAAAATATCATATAGTTAAATTAAAATATATAAATATATGTTTTATTGATGAATACTTAAATAAAAAATCATAAGGCATCATGATATGAGTTATTCAGAATAGAAGTTGAGTTTAAAATGGAAAAGGCCTTTATACCATACCGTGTTGTCCTTTGTCCAAACAATGAGAAATACTACAGTATTGTTTTGTTTCTCAAGCAGAATCAATGAAGTCAGGGACTTGATAAGTAATTGATAAGTCATAGCACATTTTGATCTAAAACCAAACTGGAAGTTTGGGATGTTATTGTTTGCATTTGAAATTGCTAATAGGTAATGCAAGAACTATTTTTCTAATATTTTCTACAAAACAGGAAGAATGCTAATTGCTCTATATGATGAAGGATTTTAAACCTAAAAAAAAAATAATAACTTTTATATTTTTATGCTTTAATAGGAAAATGTTCCAGTCTTTATAGATAAATGGCCTGAAATTCAACCAGTTGTACTAAAGCTTTTAAAAAAAGAACCTATAACACACAATGAATGGCAAGATTTGTTTTTTAACGTTTTTATATTATGTTCGTGGGATACTAAATCACCACTTAAGATGAGACGAGCTTTGAAATGGGAAATAGTGGAGTTACTTAGAGAAGTGCACGAAGTAAGACAAAGTATTTTTCAATATACAATGAACATTAAACTTAATACTTGTGTCCAAGGCAGTCCCTAGGGCAGCGCAAACTGCCCAGTTTAAGCTCAACATCCTTAATCTAAGCTCTGTTCTATTATAAAAACATAATATTTTCCTAACCAAAGTGCCTTGATGACAGTCAAAAACCTAAAATAGGATAATTAGTTTTTTATTAAATAATTAGGGTATGCTGTAAAAAAATAACTTATATTATTATAACTTGTTTTATTGGTAGTTTGGTGGAATGAGTGAAAATATCTAACTTAAGTATTTGAAAATTTAAAAAAACAATTCATAAATTTAATTAAAAATTATTTGAATTTACTTTTAATTTTTTTTAACCACTCAAAAAATGATATAACTTTTGATAAATGCTTAGGTTCATTATTATTATTTTATTTGTTTATTGTGGCAATCCTCAGCTATAAATAACTACAATTGTCCTGTTAAATTTTGCAGATTATAAAAATTACAATTTTGTTTGTATGCACTGGATGTTTGAGCCTCGTCGCTAATTTTGTCATGGCTCACTAGCTGTAGGGACGGCCTTGCTTGTATTCTATTTTCATATTTCAGGGGACGTCACACCACCGATTATTTAAAAACGCCCATGTCAAAATCTAGATAATCTTGATTTATTTAAATATATAATATATATGTACTTTTATGCTAAAACACTTAATGCATATTTAACTGCGGAGATCTCAGTGATATTTTTACTTGATGTGGCTCTTTTAAAGTTACCTAACTATTAACTAATTTTTAATTTTATTTATTATTAGCGAGTAGTAGTTCACCAAGAAGGTTATGCTTTACTTAAAGCATATATAACAGAATGGAAATCATTTTATGCTCAATGCAGTTACCTTCCAGCTCCTTTTCTGCATTTAGAATATGCATTATCTGGATTGATTGCTGCGGGTAGAAGTGAACCTATGAGGAACTCGGTTATTTTTAAGGTATAATTTATAGAATAATTTGTTTTGTTAATATTAATAATATTCTGCTTAATAATAGTGGCAGATCAGCCAGAGAACTTTAGAAGCCCTAAAGTTTTGTACATATTGGAAGCTCTCAACACAAAAATGCCTTGAAAATAATAGGTGGTTTTTAGCTTCTAATTCCATGTTCCTTTTCTATAAAATTGCAATATCCTCATAAAAAAAATATATATTTATATTTAGGCAAACCTAATTTTTTATATAATAAACATTATGATACATATAGTGAAATATATTTCATAATGATAATAATAATACAAATTTACTCGGTTGTATGTTTACAGTAAAAGTCAACTATAGTTAGATAGGTATATCATTTATTTATCAATGTCAGCAGAAATTGGATCGAATGCAGTGTAATATCAGTTTTCAATTACAATTATATTCTCACTTTTCGCAGTATGCCATAATATTATCTTATAAACTTAATGTAGATACTAGATATTCATATCATGACCACATTTAAAGTGAGTGTTTTTATTTTTTATGCTTTAGAAGCTAAGCTGATTAGCGGGTTCCATTAATGTTACGGTTAGGTGGTGGTTTTAGGTTTGGAAAAATTTATTATTGGAATACTTGGTGTTGGTTACATTGCTAAAAACTCGGTTGATCTAATTAAGTTGTCCTACTAGTAATACTGAACGCTGTAATATTAACTATATTGACAACAACACATGAAAACTATGGCTGACCACAGCGCCACACTGCATGCCCACAGTACTTTTTTTTTAATAATAATAAATAAACTTGTGTTTAATTATAAATGCATACCTTACTATTGTCTATCGCTTCTGATTGGCGTCATGTCTCTTGGGGACTTAAGAAAAGTCGATGCACCATTACGTCTCAAAGGAACCTTAATTTCTTAAAAAAAAAATATATATTTAACAATACTTAACATGAATGTTGAAGTGATATTTTTATTATGTTATTTAAAAATAGATGTTGTTGGATAGCTGGAGTCAAACTATATTTAATGATATAAAGCAAAAACTTCATGATTCGGCTATGGACCTTCTTTATCGAGAGCGAAATGGTGAAGCCTTTGACTCTCAACTTTTCATTGATTTAAAAAACTCATATGGCAAGTTTTAATTTGTTACCTATTAATATGTTATAAACTTAACAAGTTATAAATATATTAATAACATTTTTTTTTTCAGTTAATCTTTCCACTGATCCTAATAATAAACTTAATATATACCGTAAACATTTTGAAAAAGCTTATATGATTTCAACCGAAGCATTTTATAAAGTTAAAGCTCCCGAGTATTTAGAACTTCATGGTGCTCACGATTATATTAAGTATGCTTGTGCTAAAATTCGGGAAGAAGAAGTCAGAGCTCAAAAATATTTAGAATCAAGCACTGGGTTTTCTCATAAGGTTTGTTAATTTATTTTTATTTTTAAGCATTATAAAACATTTAATGTTTTGTTTATATTTATTTTCGAAACAATTTTTCTTTAGATAACAGACTGTTGTGTTACTGTTCTGGTTTCAACATTTCAGCATACTATTTTAGCAGAATGCACAAACTTGATTAAAAAAAATGATACTGAAAGTAAGTATAAAATATAAAAACGTTTAAACACCTTTTAATATTCATATTATTTAATTCAGTGTTGAAACATTTATTTAAACTTGTGGAACACCTACCCGATTGTAATGAAATAATACTAGAAGAGTTAGAGGAACATATTACCAGTGAAGGTCTTGCTTATATGGTGTCATCAGCTAACATAATAACTCAGGTAAGTTATATTTGCCATAAAAAAAGTCAGTGAGTATAGTAGTAGTAAGTTAAAAGTGTGATCGGGATCACTACAGGTTTCAGATTTGGAGGTACTGCTTAAGTGTTAGCCAAAAAATAAAATATATTTTCTTTGTTACAGGATTCAGAAAAATATGTTGAACAACTGCTATTTCTATACCGTAAATCGAGTAATTTAATTAAAACCGCATTTAATGATGACCCTAGATATCTTACTGCGAGAGACAAAGCTTATGAACAATTGGTCAATGATATTACAGTATTTCGTTTAGAGCTCCCTGTAAAACAGGCAAGTCTAATAATAATATATTTTTCTTAATGGGCGAATTGCATTATTCAGTTTTTTAAATATAAAATACATTAAAAAAGCAATCGAGGTATGTAGTATATAATACAATAATTAATAAGTACAGTACAATAAATCAAAATAGTTTATCCCAACTATTTTGCGTCAGCCACCCTTATCCGTTTTGGATACCTATTAATGCAATCTTTTGAATTATCATTTATCATGGACCTCCCAAAAACATTAACAAAACTAATTCTTTAAATTTTAGACACCCAAGATAAATGTGATAATTGTTTGTAAACAGTATATTAAATGGACATCCATTACGAAATAATTTTTAAAAAATAGTTATCATTTACAATAATTGTCTAAGTCCTAATAAAGGAAATAATACCATCTGTAACTTTTTTCGTGCAACAGCATTCTATATTTCTTATGTATACATATAATATTTGTTCACATATTGCCAGTCTCTTACAATGTGTATTATTTATTGTAAAAAAATGTTACAAAAAGGACAACATATAATTTTTGTTTATTTAAATTTATAACACTTTTTACTAGAGTAGACTTCAGGTGTTCAATATCAGCCGGAATCAAAGTGTCCAGAAATGTTAGCAAATTACTGTGATATGTTACTGAGAAAAACGTCTTTAAGTAAACGGTTAACTTCTGATGAAATTGAAGCTAAATTAAAAGATATAGTATGTATATAATTTAGTAAAATTAATAATATACTATACAATAATATAGTATAACATTATTTATAATGTTATATAACATTATAATATAAATTTATTATAAAATATTGTTTATTTTTAGTTGCTTATATTAAAATATATACAGAACAAAGATGTATTTATGAAAATTCATAAAGCACATTTAACAAGAAGATTGATATTAGATATTAGTGCTGATTCAGAAAAAGAAGAAAATATGGTTAATTGGTATTGTTATACACACTGTATATATTAAAATTGTATTTATACATATTAATACTTTTAAATTTTAGGCTTCGGGAGATTGGAATGCCGGCTGATTATATAAATAAACTAGCAAGAATGTTTCAAGACATAAAAGTCAGTGAAGATTTAAATCAGGAGTTTAAAGAATCCTGTAGCAATCTCAAGGGTAAAATTGCAGGTACAATATTTTTACTGTAAAATAAAACAAGATACTTTTTAATAGTGCACTTATTACTGTGTTAGTATTAACCTTACATGAAGTTTATAATTATATTTGTAGTAAAGAAAAGTAATTATTTTATAATTATTTATTATTTATTAGTTACATCATTATTTCCACAGCAGAACTCCACGAACAACTGTTTCTTTTTATGGGACGAGAGCAGTAAAAATTGTCATTTGTCATTAAAGAGCAAATATTTTAGTAGAAACTGTGATTACTGTAATTAGTGTTAAAATCAAATTAACCAACAAATATCACAATTAGACCTTCAAATATTATTGTTTCAATGTTAAAATTGAATAACAAATCTCCTTAGAGCAGTGATATCTTCAAAAAAAATGTTTAAAACTTCTGGAGTATAATTAATAGTAACAATATGTAATTAATACAATATAATTCAAGTCCTTCTCTTTCTAACACAAATTCTATTTAGTTCATTGAAATCTAATTAAAACTTTAATACTTATTTATGAATAAATACTAAGAGTAATTAATTATATAATAACAAAAGATACGGGGTACCCCTATTTGATTTTTTTACATTTTATCTTTATTTTTTAAAGGTTCATTAAATATTAAAATACTTAATGCTGGAGCATGGTCACGAGGAAGTGAACGTGTGACAGTCTCACTGCCAGTAGAATTAGAAGATTATATACCAGAAGTAGAAGAGTTTTATCGAAAGAAACATACGGGGCGTAAACTTCAATGGTACCATCATATGTCAAACGGAACGGTAAGGGTTGCATAAATAAAAATACCTATACTTTGTCCCACGTAAGAAAGACAGTTTGACATGACATAATCTGGTCTGTCTCGTGATCCCGCAGCCTAGTTCTATTGATATCAGTATTAATTAATAAATAGGCACGTAGAAGAAGTTTGAGGGCAGTGTTAAATGCCTCAATCGATATGTGCAAAACTCTGGCTTTCTTACGTGGGACAGAGTACATAATATCATTTTTTTTTTTTTTTTTATATATAATAAATCTTTTTAGATAACATTTAATAATGAAATTGGCCAATTTGATATTGATGTCACAACATTTCAAATGGCTGTGTTATTTTCATGGAACCAAAGACCAAAGGGCCATATTACCTATGAAAATCTCAAGCTTGCTACAGAACTGCCTGACCCAGATCTTCGAAGAACTTTATGGGTATTACATAATTCATTAAAAACTAATATAATTTATTTTGTAAAATGGCTATTCATTAATGTGCTTCATTATTATTTTGTTCATGTAAATTTAATATTTCAATCTAATTTATCTTGTTTTAGTCTTTAGTAGCTTTCCCAAAGTTGAAAAAACAAGTCGTAATGGTATCACCAGACGCATCGTCTCCAAATGACTTTAGCGACAGTACAACCTTTTGGATAAATGAACAGTTTTCAATAGTGTAATTAAAATTAAAAACCAAAAATTGTATTTTGTATTACACAAATAATACATTAATGTTTTTTTTTTTAGGAAAAATGGTAAGATCCAAAAAAGAGGAAAACTAAGTATGATTGGTAGATTACAGCTATCAACTGAGCGCAGTAAAGAAGAAGACAGCGAGAGTATTGTTCAACTTAGGATATTTAGAATTCAAGTAATAATTGTAGTATTAGAATGCTAATTGTGTTGAAAAATTATACAACTAATTTTACATTTCATTCTTTCATATTTACAGGAAGCAATAATTAAAATCTTAAAAATGCGCAAAGAAATCTCAAATTGGAACCTTCAAACCGAATTAGTGCTTATGTTGAAAAATATGTTTATACCAAATAAAAAGATGATTAAAGAACAAATTGAATGGCTAATTGAACAAAAATACATTAAACGTAATGAAGACAATATAAATACTTTTGTATACATTTCATAAATTTCTACTTTGCTGACAGTTGCGTTTTAATGAGTAAGTCGTTAACAAAAAATAAATATAAATTTGCCATATTTCTTAGTATTGATGCCAACTGAACGTAATGCATTATTATAAATGTTTTTTTTATTAAAATACTTGTTAAGAGGACACTGCACTACATTAGTATAACACAAATAACATAACAAGAGAAAAATACCAGTATTGGTATTTTATATTTGTTTCCAACTTTTACAATATAGTCGTTTTTTTGCACAAATATATGTCTCAAACGTGATGCATTTATCTGATTAACGATCAAGACTCGAGTACATTTATACTAAATTTAATATCAAGATTGTGCCTATAGTCACACTTGAATTATTTTTGATATAACATATGTAAGCAATGATATAAACCTAAGCAAAATAGTAAAATTAAATGTCCTATAATAATTAAGATTCAAATCTGTAATTATAAAAAAACACTCATGTCAAAATTTTAATAAAAAAAAAGTGCTTATTTTGAAACAAACACTGGGGAAAATTTGTGTGGGTCCTCTATAGTCTTAAGTATAATTTACGTAAATTACTGACTTTTTTTTTTTAGTGTGAATAATATATTGTATTTTTTGCCTTAATATACTACATTAATCAAGTATTAAAGATGTAAAAGTGGCGCCCTGTTGAAAGTGTAACATATTTTGAACTTGTATTAATTTGTCAGATAATAAATGTTGAAGGATAACGAGTATTCTAGTACTCGTACTACTAGTAAATTAAACTATACTTTAAATTTACTTACTAGTACAACTGGCGATTACACAACAAAAAAGGGCTTTTGTATAATTATTACATAATTTTGATTACTAAATCTGTTATGGAGTAAAATTATTGTAAATATTATTATTGTAATTAAAAGCTATCTTGAAAAAAAGTTTCTCTTTAAGAATCATTTACTTTTATTTTTTAAGAATGTAATATATAAACTATTATAATTATTATCGTCTTTTTTAATAATATATTGCAACACTCATTTCTTAATAAATAATATAATCTGTTTGTATATGTGATGTATAAATAAAAGGACCTGTTATTGACGTAGTTGATTTGAGAAAAACGGCAATCCATTCGCCAAGTTCAACAACTTGTCATTTTTTTAACTACAGAGAAGTGTACCAGGTCTCAAATTGTTCAAAACCAGTCTTGATTCAGAAAAAAGTACTAACTTAATTTTGAAAAATTCCGATTAAAGAAATTTGCATCACAAACATTGATGATAGCATAACGAATAGTACCTATTCATTAAAAATCGACAAATATTGTAAGTGTATGAAAAATTCATTAGGTATCCCTCAATGTGATTAACAATAACAATTTGTTTTTTCAAATTATTAAAATTATTACTTTTAAATACCTTACATTAAAAAAATCACAATATCATTTATGAATATTCAGTCAAATCTTATAACGTAAAAAAAATAATTTAACAAATCATTATAATTTTTTAAACACTTAATATGTTAAGTAGGTTAATTGTAAGAAAATTTTTTTTTTTTTTGATCAATTAAAGAAAATTTTTTAAAAAAAAAATTCTAAGAAAAAAGATGGGCGTTTATCAAAAGTACACATTTTATTTACCGCAATAAAACAATAAATACATACTGGAACATAATATAAACAAAAATGTAGTACCCACCTAAATATTTATTATTATGGCACTGTATCTTTTTGCGTACAACAATGAAAATAAAAAATTAAGGGAGTGTATTTTTTTGGATACAATCAATAATTCTGGTATGTGCAAATAAATATAAAAGCGGTTGGCTTGGTTTTAATATGGATAAAATATTTAGATGTACCTGATTACAATCCATTAGCTTTTTTCAGTATATCATAGTTTCAATTTATAAACCAAACCCCAAAATAGATTTATAAATTCACCTTGTTTAATTCGTAATTCGTATTGCTATAAATTAGATAGTAATTCGTTATATGAAAATCTTAAATCAGTCGAGAGAAAAATAATAATGATATGAAAATGAATGCTGATAGGTAAGTGATAACATGGTTTTAGATACCTACGGCGCGAAAATCTGTACATTTTTAACAATAGCCATATTGATAACTCCACAGAGATTAAAGAATAAAAAATATAAAAATTCCATAATATTACATCTTTAATATTTTCACTGGAATGACTTTTCTAATACTGTGTAATGTGTATCTTTAAAGATACTTTTGCCAGTTTGCCGAGTTAAACCAAGTCAACGGTTAATAGCAAGCTACACAAATGTAGTTTTTCAATTTAAAACCTAGGTATAGCATTCTGTTCACAGCTTTACATTAGTGGTCCTTATATTTTTTAGAAAATTGAAGTCGACGCCCTATATAAAGGCTTCAAGTTGTGAAAACATATTCTTGCTTGAATTTTCATCTTTCTCCCTTCGTCTCCCTATTTCAACGAGAGGTTTTACTTAAGAGTTAGCCACGAACGGCATTAAATATCTTGCCAGCGGACAAGCAAATAAGTCCTAACAATATTTCAAAATATTCGTTTAAAAATCTATAGCTAAATGTTAAAATCAACTTATTAATTTTTTTATGATAACTACTTATAAATAAGCTGAAGCAAGTTCTTAGTTCTGTCAATTGATGTATGCTTCCAATTTTAAGTTAAGATAAGTTAAGGACGTTGCAACTCGGTCTGCGCGAACTCATATCACAAAAATGTTCTTTTTTTCCCGAAACTGTAAGTAGGTGCCTGACAATCATCAAAAAAAAAAATAATATTAGAAATATTACACACATAAATATCTATAATACACTGTAAATTGTAGGGTTAAACAAACTAAAGGGATTCGATACCGGCTGTTTTTTTCAGTCAAAACATATCATTTTTTGTCCATCGCACAGGCCGAACCAGTGATCCGATTAGTAATATGAAAAAGATTTGAATTCGTTATGAAGTTAACTTGAAATCCTACGAGGCACTTTTTTCAATTTTTAATATCAACCCTTTACAAATTTGATTTTAAAATTTGAAATTGTATAAAATGTTCATAGTAAGAAAAAGATATCAAAAAAGTACCTCTTAGGATCCCAAGTAAACTTCATAACGATTTCAAATGTGTTTTCAGATTACTAATCGGATCACTGATTCAGCCTGTGCGATGGACAAAAAATGTACTATTTTATTTACTAAAATGGCCTTTACTTATAGACAAAATGATTTAAATTAAAAATAATACCACGATGCTTATACAAATTAACCTATAAATTAATTGACATGGTCGAAATTTATTAAAACCACTTTTTTATTAAATATTGCCTACACAAAACTCCTTAAAAATGGTCGGTATCGAATCCCCTTAAGAGGGCGTCGCACCTGTGATTTTCAGTAGTAAAAATATGTTTAGACCAACTGAAAATAACTCGCTTAACTTTATTTTTAGAGTAAAAGCACCCACTATAAAATTAAAGAGAACAATATTCCAGAGGGCAAGACGGTGCGTTTTTTTAAAAAATATCATTTTTTGAAAAGTTACAGTCATTTAAAAATGTTAAAATAGTCGTTATTTCTAAACTATGTATTGAACGTTATACTTGGAATAATGAAAAAAATCGCACCGCCTTGACCTCCGGAATATTGTTTTCATTTAATTTTATAATGGGTGCTTTTACTCTAAAACCAAAATTAAGCGAGTTATTTTCAGTCTGCTTAAACATGTTTTTACTACTGAAAATCACCGGTGCGACGCCCTCTTAACCCAGAACGGTTTCTAACCTATCAAGATTATATTTACATATTTTACAGCCAAATATGTTAGAAAAATAACTCAAGTAAAATGTCAAAAAACGTCGAAAATTGCGTGTTCTTACGTCAACCGGTTTTTAGTAATGAAACAATACAAAATTCATTAATAATTATTGTTAATTTGGCTTCCTATAAATTTTGTTTTTATTATTAGTAAAAGTATGGGCAGATAGCCCAATGGTAAACGTAAAACGATTACAATGATATACCTACAGTGAAACTCATAATTTACAAAATAGAGTATAAATAAGTACATACAGAAACAATATTAATAATATTGGAAGGAGGGTTGAATATTGACAATCAGCATCAGTATTAAGGGCTGATAGCGGCATAAAAGTAGTGTATATAGGTAAAAATAATGAATAATATTTGCGTGAAAAGTAAGAAGGGACTTTAAAATTGGTGTGATTAAGAATAGACGGCGAATATATTTTACCTGAGAGTAACTTGCCAAGGAAACCTATATTGGCTTAAACTCTTCAGTCAGCTAGTGAGCACAATTTTAAAGAAGTAAGAAAAGGAGAATAATCATGCTTATCGCAGGAGAAAATGAAATCTTTAGAGAGACCGTTAGGACCAATAGACTTAATATTACGTAACGGGGACAAAATATAACGCTTAGCATCACCAATGTCAAAATTACAACTATTGAGCGTCATAAATTAAATGGGTGGAAATACAGCTGTATTTGTATAAACTGACATGTTATCATACCTAGATAGAATTAAAGTGTTTAGGGAAAAATTAACTGTATCAAAAATTATTTTTCTTAAAAACTAAAAAAAATTATTACTATCTGAAATTGTAAGGTGTAAAGGATTCTTTAAAAAAAAATTAATGAGTTAATGCTGTATTCTGTAGTAGTCTGATAAAAATTAGCAATCAATAAAGAATCGGTCTATATAGGGTACTACCTTAAGGCTTTAAGTCTTATGTAATAAATATTATAATAATTAAACAAACAATTCTAGCTTTTTACTATGTTTTTTGTGAAAAATCGCCCACACTGAACGCCGTTTTTATCGACTAAAACGGATAATTAAAATAATCTCTGCTTCAAAGATAAAAACGAGTCATGCGTTTGTTTAACTTTAACATGAATAATAATAACAATAAATTGTTGCATAATTAAATTTTTAATAATAAAAAGAAATTTAGACGTTATCATAGCGGTCAACTATTGCCTATATAATAATATATTTGTTTTCCATCCTTGAACTGCGCTAAACCTAAAGATAATAATATTGCCTATTGGTTCATTTACCCGTGGTTTAATTACATTCATTCACCATAAAAATTACGTTATTTCAATGTGGCAATATTATAATAATTATTATAAATTTATTATAATTAATATTTTATAATTTATGCAAAGACTTCGGACGTTCACGCCCTGCTTTCTGAATGCCTTATGCCGAGTGGTTGCCAAATGACAAACAATATCACTATTATAATTACAAATTATAACATTAAAATGTAATATTAATAACAAATAATAATCAGTATTCACTTGTCGTAGTTCGTACCGTTATCTGTTATCACTGAATAATTATCAGTGACAATTTACAACTCACACGTCTAGTATACGCGATTCGCGACCAATTACAAGACTACGTCGTAATATTAATTACACGGTAATTTAATTTTGGTTATTATTATTATTTTAAACATAATCTTAATTATTTTTATTATTATTGTACATTCGTATGATAATATGTACGTATGACCACCACGTCACTTCGAAAAATAATTAAATACACTTATATAAACACTCGTAGCTAGTAATAATAATAATAAAATTACTACCGACGGTCTTTGTCATTGTTGGTCGAGTGAAACTTATTTGTCTTCGTCTAGCCGCCGTACTCCGTCGTTAGTATTTTGTTAGATAAAATATTTTGTTTTACTTCTATTGCTGTGTAAAATTGTATGCATAAATATAGGTATCGCTTATGCATAAAAAAAGCAACACTACTTAAAAAAAAAAAATTATAATCTTGGTTGTATAACTTTTTTTGTGCATTAGTGATAAACTGATTTATTTATATACTTAAAAAGAAATAATAAATTCTATAGCTGGTAAAATGTCAGAGTTGTCCATCGATTTGTCTGCCTCCCCGGCGATCAGTCCACTTGGTTTCACGAGTGGATCCACTAAAAAGTATTACCGGAAAACAACTCATAGGTATGTTTTTAAATTTGTTTTTTTGTGTGTTTGTAATTATAGTATATTTTAATAGGTTTGCTGTTTTGTTAAAATAAAATCTTTTAAAACCGAGTTAAATATATTTGAATAATAACATAATACTTACCTATGTATTTGCACACATTCATATTATTAAGGCTATCAACTTCTTGATAATCTTTAAATACTAGTATGTGTATTATTACTAATATTTAGTACTGATATTTGTTATATCCAAGCATAGGTACAAAAAAAAAAAATAAATATCATTTTAAAACAACTATAGGTACGTATGTATTTATAAATCTATTATCTGAATGTTATGCATTTTATAAAATTCAATGAAATCTACTTAAAAAAGGAAACAAGCTCATAATTATAAAGAAAGTTGGTAAATAATTAAATTGGCTTTAAATTAAAATAACTTATTATACTAGTTTACATCAATTGTTGAATAATAGCGAAAAAAATGCTCAATTTATTTAGTAGATCATATAATTATGTCTTTAGAATAAGATGAAATACCTTATTTATTTGTTCTTATTTCACCATAAGTTGTCTTACAGAAAGATAACTTATCATGTGTTTAAGTTCTGGAATAAACAAGTAAACATTTATTTATGAAAAGTTAGAATAAACTATTCGTTTACATGGAGATTTAAAGACTAATAGAAATTAAGTTATAAGTAGTATATCAATGATAGCTAGCTAGACTATTTGTTCTTTTAAAGGTTTGACATCAAGTTTAATACTAATAAATGTATTATCATCAAAACATTGGCCACAGCAATTCAACTATTTTATATGTATACTTATAGTACTATTTCTTAGCTATTCAGTATTGCAATCTTTTCTGATTATATTAACACGTTAGCTGCCAGGGGCCCAGTACTATTACTAATGAACCATTTGAACTGGGAACCCATTACATTTAATGGGTTAAATCTAATGGGAAATATAACTATCGATAATTATAATGTACCTATC